TTTACTTCAGCCACTGAGGAGATCCCGTTGCTCTTGCCATGCTCTGCACTATGGACCAGCATGGAGATGCTTCAGGGACCCCAGAGCACCTGGACTCTTTCTCCAGCCAGAAAAGCACTCACAGATCTGGTCTGTAGAGACTCATGGAGCTCTGACACCATAGGAGACCTTAAAAAGGGACTGTCCCTTGAAGCAAGACTTAGCTTAGAAGGGTTCAGCCAAGGCTTGTCTCTGGAGATACGGAGTAAGCAACAAGTTTTGAAAGCCAAGGATAAAGAGGTTCATCACGGGGTCAGTTAGATAAAACCACTAAAATATATTTGACCTAACAAAGTGACTCTGGTGCTGCTTCCAGATCAGTGATGAGGAACAGGATCTTCCCAACAGCAGAACTCTGCTTTTACTGCTCCCACTGCAGTCACACACAGCGGGGTGAACCCTGTGCACACCTCTCACCACAACCAACACTCCAGGAATTGCCTTGGGAGGCTCAGAAAAGGGCTCAGCAGCAGCCCATGGTTCTGGGACTGCAGGAAGGAGGGGATGAGACACAGACTCCTTCACAGAACAAGCACCAAGGAGCCTGAAATAAACAGCTTCTCCATTCCCACTTGCCAAGTCCAAACACCCCAGTGATAAATATTAGTACCAGTCACTATTAATCCCACAACAGCAAAACTTGGATTACAGTACAAGTGAAAGCTGGAGCAAAATATGCAATTTGAAAAAAGCTCCTGAGCAAATAAGGAAGTTTCACTTCTTGCCTACTTGAAGCACATGTGACATGATTTGTTTGAAGAATAAAATAGACTGCAGGCATGGAAAATGCCAGGCATAAAGCTTTAGAGAGTTACTAATACTGTGGAATATAAATGGCAAGCGATCCCAGATTATTTTAGAAAAGGCTGGCTGCAATTTACAGCCTTGATTAGACTGATTACTAAAGGATGAACAGCAAAATAACTTCAGTAATTAAATTTCCGAAGAGGAAACCGAAGGTTCTTACTCGTGAAATGAGCTGCAAATGAATTTAAATATTCTGTATGACTTTTGTCCTTCTCAGCAGAAGAGCTGCCTGACATGGTCATTTTCTAGGAAAGGAGATTGAGCAAGGCTTAACAAAGAAATGAAAAAGGGCTTTGTAGCCCTTTAGCTTTTCCATGGGAAAGCCCATTGGAACCACACTTCAGCTCAGAAAGCAATACAACTGAATGGGAAAATAGAAGTATCATTAGGGTGTGTTTCAAGGTGAAAAATACAGTTTCCATCAATACCTTGTGGTCAGTTTCCCTCTGTAATTAAGTGAAAGTTGTCCGAGCAGATGGTAACACCGATAACCGATGTAAAATCGCAGGGAGGGAGTGATCCATGGAGTTCTTTTCTAAAAAAATTCCAGGAGAACCCCAACCAGAGCTGTCTCTGCGTTTGGGAGACATCCTGTGGCCGCTGCAGACACTGCACGTGCCTCTGCAGCTCGCCTTGCCGTGCAGAGGGGACCATCCATCCATCCATCCATCCATCCATCCATCCATCCATCCATCCATCCATCCATCCATCCATCCATCCATCCATCCATCCATCCCTGACATTTCAGCAGCCACACTCCACCACCAGCCCCTGCTCCTCTGGACACCACAGACACGGGACCATTGTGACAATGCCTCCAAGCTCCTATCAGTGTGTTTTTCCCATCCATCTGGAAACACGTGTGAAAACACTTCATTTCATGCCTTTTGACTGCTCCTGTGTGAGCCAGGGCAGGAAATTATTCCATGCTCAGAAACTTTGCTGTTTGTGGTGCTCAGGCTGAGGTCTTGGTAAGAGGCACCTCCAAGCAAAGAGGATTTTACCTCAAGACAGGAAAATGATTGAAAACCATGTGATAGAAATGCCAGTAGAATTTTACTTTGATTTTGCATCCCCATATGTTTTAACAGAATTATTTTCGTGGTGAGCTATTTTGTTATCTGATTTTATTCACCTAATACATTCAATGTGATCAGCAACTACAAGGAAACATGAACTGTACAAATATTTTGTTTTTATGCCCTGAATTTTTAAAGGATGTTAAATGATAACATAAGGGTATAAATGGAATGAGAACTGCAACATATCTATGCCTTGAAACTCCATGCTGTGGTTCCCACAGCAACCATAACCATGGCCACTTCTCATGGATTTTACATCCCAGTCTGACGCTGTTCCAAGTGCTCAACACACATAAGCAAAAACCAAGCAAAAGCATTTTTTTCCCTCTGCAATAAACGTCTAAGTCACAACCACTACAAGGTGTTCATGGCACTCCTAGGTGAAGGTGAACTCCCAACAGCTGACAATTAATGCCCTGAATGTGGCTTCTGTGCAGAGATACTTGCAGGATTCATAGTGTTGGTATTGACACCCTTCTGTTTTCTGTTAGTGCTGAACAAGAGCCTGCTGTTTGTACCAAAGGTTAAAGCATTCTTAGAAGGCTAAAAGAGAACAGTTAAGGGTCTTTCAAGTTCCTTTGTTTTGAATACCAAACTGTTTCAACTTCAGAAGCACTGAGTGGCTAAGAGACTGTTCCTCCATGGTTTTGCTCATTTTATCCAGCCCCTTTGCTGGTAGGCAGTACCTGGTAGTGCACTAAAAAGAGACTGGCAGAAACAGGAACATGGAAACCCTCAAGTCATCCAAGTTTACTGGTTTGCCTTTTTCTTAAAGGCAAACATTTTTAAAATTTTAAAAATTAAACTTTTTCTTGCTCTTAAGTTTGACAGAAGTAAGGAGCATGCACAGAGACAGAAATTCCAACATCCCCCTTGTTCTTGGTTTTTTAAAAGCATTTACTGCTGTTGCAATCCAGGAGTCTGATTGGCCTTGGGTATGAAAAAGTTGAACTTCTAACAAATTATTCATTTCTCTAGGTTGAGCTTTATCCAAAGCTCACGCCCCTTCCTGCTGGATAACAGTTTATTCTATGAAGTGATAGAGTAATTGTCAGTGGTGAAATCAATGAAATGATTCACTGCTACTGGAGGGGAAAACCTCCAGTCAAAGGTGGAATTTTCAAAACTCCACTTCATCAGAATGTCAAATCAAGGGTTTAATTGGCAGCACCGGTGACCTGTAATAACATGAGCCTGTCTTTACTGGAAAGCTCCAGGACTCTTCTGTGAAAACTTACAGAAATGAGATAGTATAGACAGTTACAAGCCTACATATTTAAAATTAAATGTTAATCCACAGTGGTACCAGTTTTCCAAAACTGTATTTATTCCTAAACATCTGCTGTAAATCAGAAACCAAAATGTTACATTAGTATGACCCCCCCACCCCCACCCCAGATGGCAGAAATACCATCAACTACTGAAATTCTCTAAATATTTAACACTTTAGGTTACTAAGAAAAGATGTGGTCCTGGATAGCAGAGCAAGAAACACCCAACCAGCCCCTCCCAGAGATACAGAGAGTGACACTGGCTCAAGGGGCCTCTGCCCACACCCAGGGGTACCTGAGCCCTCTGGGGACAGTGGCCACTGTGACTGAGCAGGTTCCAGCACAGGGGGCACACACTGCTGCTCCAGGGCTGCACAGGGAGAACAGCTCTCTGGGCTGGCTGCAGGCCTAATTAAATTGCAATCCACAACATGGTCTGGGACACAGCAGCTGTGGGAAATACTGATTAAAAGCATCTACACATTATCCCAATGGGCCCATGTATAGCTGAGCTTTTAACTGGTGACAGCTCTTATTTAAATTCCAGATATGCCACAGTCTTTCCATATGACTGGGAGGACTACTGAACCCTGCACTTCATTCCTGCAACATAAACGTGTGGATATTAATTCCATATTTTTATAAATAATCTAATTTATCTTGACACAAACTTCTGTAATTAAAAAAAAAAAGGATACAGTATCATGGTATATTAGATCTTGAAGCCTTACTGTAATGCAAGAAAAAAAGCTAAACCTTGCCCAAATCTGTACTATAAGTCCTTAAATCCCCAAAGATTGGACCAGATGCTGTAGCTTGAACAGAAGTAGTGTGCAAAACATTTAGCCCAGCAGGACTAGCTGTTCCTCCAGCCTACCTCTCTCTACTTCTCAATATGGTCAAGGACCTCAGGTCCTGTAAAGAGGTCAAATAAACTGAAGTGTTTCAGAAATCCTAAGTACAGGGAAGGTTTGCATAAGAAAAAGTGTATCTGAATTTGTTCCTGCTCAGTGTTGTTTTGTTTTATGTATGTATTTTTAAATGCTTTTATTTAATAAAGTAAAACCCCACAACCCAAACTCTTAATACATTTTTCTCTGCCAGATCCAGCAATCAGATGATGCCATCAGTGCAGGCTGACAAGGTTTCAGTGATGCAAACCTTCAGCCATGAGCCCATTCCAATCAGCCCATAACACAGCACTCGGACCACACGCTCCAGGACTCAGCCATGTCAAGAAATAAAAACAAACAAACAAACAAACAAACCAGGTTCTTGGTCTTTGTTCACGTACCTCAAAACCTCAAGACCTGCTGCTGCCTCCTCACCACACACTGACCTCTGATTATTTTTAAAACTTGCCCCTTAAGGTGAGAAAAACCGGGTGTGGTTCTGCAGAGTCCCATCAGCAGTGGTGCCTGCAAACCTACAGAGATTCCCAAGAAATATGAACAGGTAAAAAGCCTGTGCTGGGGAAGCAGTTCATCTTTGGTTCGGAGAGCTGAAGAAAGAACTTTCCTTCCCAGGCAGCCCCCAGAGGCTTGAACACCAAGCATGCAGGGTGCTAAATATTCTCACACAAGGTAATTTTACAAGGCATTTGGGAAGGAAGCTGTTAAAAATATTTTTCTGATTATAATAAGTGATTTTTTTTTAATACCTCAAATAAAGATTTACTGAAAGAACCTTTTGAGAACACTTTAAGAAAAATACCAAAGTACAAACTTTAAATATCCAAAGTATGATACTGGTGCACTTTTTAGAAACACTTACATACTTAACAGGTGAAGTAGGAAGAGAGTATTTCAGAAAACATTTAATATGAAACCTTTTGGAACTTCCATCGAATACAGATTTACATAATTTATCAGAACACTTTTTCAGTTCAGACAACAAAGTGCACTGCCAGGTGAAAAAAATACATTTGGAGGAGTGCTTAAAATGTAGGGAGTGAAAGGATAGGTGACCATTCACCTGAGAAAGTACAATGACTGCCCTGAAATGTCTTATTGCTATTACAAAATGGAGTTTTCATGGAAAAAACCCATACTGAGCAGCACAGGCATGGGCAGAGCACTGAAAGCCAACTGAACTCTGGTAGCACCTGGAGTTCTCAAGCCATGGCATGATACAGAATATACAGAGAATAAAATGCAAATTCAGGAATATTTACTACATTTAACAACTATGATTACCCTTTAAACTAGCATAATCAATACCAATGCTTAGGGGGGAAAGAGAGGGGAAGTCTGCTGCCTTCACAGACTACAGATCACAAGAGCTAACTTGCAAAATATTAAGGACTTTGCATTTTCACCTCGGGTCAAATCTGAACTGTGTACTATGAGTAACTATTAGCTCACTGCAAATTTAAAATGCAAATTTAGGCTCCAGTTTAAAGCACATGTTAAGTACATGCGTAAGTGCTTCACTGAAATATAACCACAAAACATTAATACAAAAAGTCAAGTAGATAATGCAGGGTATTATCTACACAAGTCCTCGATGAAATAAACCGAGTATCGGTAGGAAACAACGCGCGAAGAAATCTCCTCGTTCTAGTTTGCAAAATCAAATCCCTTTCACCGCCGTGATGGTTACAAGGTGGGGGCTGTCCCAGAGCAGCTCCATGTCCTACCCAAGGCTAGTTGGCCATCAGAGTTCATGGGGGCAGGTGCCACACTGCACGGGGCCAGGGACAGGGGACTCCCTTGGCAGCATGGGGACACAGACACGCTGGCACTGAGCCATCCACAGCAGCAAGCCTGAGCCAAGGGGCAGCGCACTGGGAGAGTGCAAGGAAAAGCTCCAACTGCTTCGGCCTATGGCTGTAGTTTGGCAAGCTGGACTTTGGACAGAGCAGATCAGGAGCCAATCTGATTCCCACTTTTGGGTTTCAATGCTGAGGGTGTCCAGGAGGCGAGGGACAGCACTGCCCAATGTGCAGCAAGGCCTCGGAGCTGGCAGAGAATGGCCACGATTTGGGAGTCCCTTTGTGCTTTGTATCTGACCTAGTCTAACGTGGCAAACTCGCTCTGAAAGAAAACCACTACTCAGCAATTAGCACCTCCTTTTACACTGCCTCATTCCCGAGAGGAACAACAGAGAAACGTTCTTAGCTGCGGTCAATACTCGTAAGCCAAAAGGACAAAGATACAGTTTTAGTAGTTTAGCAGAAGCAGAAGAATGGAAGCGTTTACCCAAATATTAATGCACAAATTAACTACATTATTAAAATTTGATTCAGACTTAAATAATAAATAGGTGGGCAAAATATAATGCAAGACTTACTCAGTAGAAGTGAATTTTTAATCATCTCATGAGATCTACTTAGAAAACAGGACTAATAATGTTCACAACCATAAATCCAAACCCTTCACACACTTTTTTCTTAACACAGCAGTGAACTGTAAACCTGCATTTACTGGTTAATGCTTCAGTCATTTTAAATATTAACTCAAGTGTTTCCTCCTTGGCCATTTCAATTTTTAGCACCAAAATTAGCCCAAAAAGAGGTACTGGTACAGCTCGATGTTGTAAATGAATCGTTTACATATAATACTTTATATATTATACACACATACTGTACATTCACACATCCACACAAACAGGAGGCATATTTAAATGAATATATTCTGTGTTTCAATTTGTTGTCAAAGACTTAGGAGCAATGGAAATAAAGCAGAAGGGGTAATATTTTACATAGTAGGCAACTTTAATGCTGTAGTGCACTTATAAAAAAGTCCAACTCTCCCTCCCAGCTCAGCAGCTTTTTTTTTTTAATATCACTATTCAGAAGGATGCAGAAGTTATTGCCTAAATGTTATTCTATACATTTCCATCGGAATTCTCAAAAACACTTTAAATTGCTAACTAATTTACAACTTAACTATTTTTTTCTTGTTACAGCTTTAACTCATTGGCAATTTTGGAAGCAATGTTTTTGAAAGCTATGGATGTTCCCGATATCCGCTTAAAGCGAACTCCGTTCAGGGACAGTCTTGGCAGTTTACACACCTCCATCTCCCACTGTACGAGGTTTTCTGCGTGCCCATCTCCATGGACACAGAAAAGCAAGAAACGCTCTCTTTGTTCATAGTCACAATTATTGGCATCCAGGACCTTGCGGATTTCCCTCATCATGTCATTGGGATCCATGGAGCTGGTGGTTTTCATGCTCCAGGTAAAACGCAGCGACCGAGGCTTGGCTTCCTTGTTCTCGTCCTTCTGATCCACGGCTACATTGCGGCTGAAAGACAGGAATTCTGGAGTGAGCAGGGCCAGCCACCCTCCCCAGGGCCACCTTAGTGAAGCCACCACTCAACCCACACCAGAGCAGCACTGGAGGCTCTGGCTGTGGCCCAGCCCAGCTCCCCCAGCTGCTTACACACACACAGGGAAAGCTGTAGCTGCTGGGGCTGGAACGAAGGAATGGCACTCACTGGGACACAACTGGCACTCAGTGGATTCAGGAGCACGGGGGCAATGACCTTCTGGAGGCAGAACTACATGCAGCACCTACAACTTGATATTAAGGCAGGTTCTGCTCAAAACTCTACTCTCGGGCCATGTGGGCAGCTGAAACACCAGCTCTGTGCTAGAAGTTTCTGGAACAATGAAATAACAGCTCCCTGTGGCACGAGGGCTAAGCCCAGGCCTTGGGAGGTGCCCACTTACACAGAATGGGGTGAGCCCATGCACAAAGGTGCTGGCGTTCCTCTGCACCTCCTCCTGGGCAGCAGCCAGGAGACAGAGCCCTGGGAGGGCCCCTGGAGCCCCACAGCAGCTGGCTGCAAGCAGAAGGAAGGACAGCAGGACCAGGGTCACCCTGAGCCCCCCGACCTGGGCTGGCTCAGTTCCACTCTGGCCTTCCCGCTGGGGCGAGTTTGAGATGATCCCTAGGGACACACCCTGGGGGCTGCTCAGAAAGGAGATGCCTCCTCCTGAGTTGGTCAGAAATTCATTAAATACCAAGCACTGACTGAGGTACAGTGATGAAATCCTCTGCAGCTACAAGCTCTGCAGTTAAGTGCCTCTGAGGGGGATGTGGAAGTCACTATTAGACACCTCTTCAACACAGTTTGTAAAGATGGTGAGAGGGTACCATTATTGTCACACTTTTAAGAGATGAAGCACCAAATATTGAGGGTGCATTCCCAAATCTGCAACTTTTTTTTTTTTTAATAATAAAAAAAGCTTTCCTTTTGGTATGGATAAGTGAAGTTAAACAGGACAAGGGAAAGAAATGTTCCAGAAATTTCTAGTTTGTAATCATTCTTCTACTTAAATTAAAATCAGTAGTCATGCAGCTAAAGAATAAGGAACTACATTTGGACCTCCAGGGACAAAATACAGATTTGCTTTGTGAATATTTGTACACTGCCAGTCACCTCTTCAAATTTAATTAAATATATTGACTGTCATACTTAACTATTAGCTAACCTGACTGGCCCCCAACCATGCAGTTTAGGTCTCATGTTGAGCCTCCATATTAAGCAAGCTGCCCTTTGAAATAGATGGCAATGGTTACACCAAGTTTTATTTCTACTACCATTAAGCAGGCAGTTATGAAAAAGTTAAATAAAAAGTGATAGCAAGGCCACAACTAAATGAATATATTTCTCAAATATAACCTATTTCATAATTCTTCTATTAAAAGATTTCTTGTGACTGTGAGAATCATAAGACTATGCAATGTGATTTGCCAGATGTTACAAAATTCATCACACAAATTAAACAGTATTTTGTTTTGAAGTTTTAATTTAATAGGGCTGTAAAAGACCAGGGAAAACCCCAATTTTTATTCAATGCTCATTTTCTTTTTGGAAGCTTTTTCTACTTGAAAACAGTCGGCAAACCCAGCAGTTTGATAATTTCTAATATTTTTTTGATATGCTGATTTTGCAAGAAGTACAACATGAAAAATATTTAACTACCTGTGATTTTGGAGATGAGAAATATCTTATCACCTTTCAGTGGTTATTCCACACATTTGCAGCCTCACTAGAGACCACTTATCTACACATCTACACGACAACAGCAAATTACAATGACTAAAATGCAAAAAAAAAGAAAAACCACACAAGGAAAAAGGCAACAGGAAAGCTGAAAGTTTAGAACCAAGTCAGTCAGTGCTTTAATAGCTGTTTTGCAGACAGAAATGCTTCTTTGTTTAGTTCCAATGACTTACATGAAAAAAAAAGCTGCTGCCTGAAGCCACTATGCCACATAATCAAGGGAAGAAAGGTTCAAACTCACCTAAGTAACGTTTTAAACAAAAATTTTACCCTCACCTTGAGCCCTCAAATCTCCCGTTCCTCTCATATTCAGTCGGGAGCCTCAATGAAAAGAATGCAGAAGCAAAAGGAAGTGGGAAAGAGAAGACAAATCTTACACTACAGTATATAATATCTGAGTAGTTGCTAAAAGATACTGCAATCATACCAAAGGTGTGTTAAAATACAAAACAACAAAGATGTAAAGAACTTGGTAGGTCAGGACAAAGACAGAAAGTAACATTGTCAAACCAAATGGAAGTCTATAAACTTCCATTTTTTAAGTTTTTAAACTGTCCATAACTAATTTTAACAGTATATGTTTATATTTTAAATCTGTAGAACTCATGGAATAAATCTGAAGTTCTAAAAGCAGAAAATGTGAAACTAGTTACAAAGCATATTGAAGTGACTGTATTATTTACTAAGTACCTCCTAAAAGAGAAATAACTACCTAACCTAAATATTTTTAGGTTAATGTTATTTCAAAGTTTTATCTGGAATAAAGTATATATTTGAAAAAATCCCCATAACTATTTACAGACAAGTCTGATCACCTTGTGTATTTGCATGCTCATCAGATCTGCATGTTCAAACAATACCAAAATACCTTAATGCAAAAGAAGATGCACATACATTTTAACAGAACTTTAAGAGCCAAATCCAAGATTTCTCAAGCTGTGCTAACTCCATCCCAGTAATTCCACACTGATGCATCTTCCCCATCCAAGAACAAGCTTAAGCTTTCTGTCTTCTTGCAGTGCTTAAGGCTACACTGCTGGTCACTACCATCTATTGAAAGCCCAGGGTCAAGAAGAATTAAGGGGAAATTATCTTTCTCTACCTTCCCATTGTTGAAGGAGGATGGTTCAACACATCAGCATTAATTCTGCTCAGGGGGATGCTGCCTGTACACTGATTTCATCCAGACCAAGGCAGTACATGGCTTCCCTGAGTAACACAAACACTGCAGTTTGGGTGGCAGGTGTCTAGGGACAGCAATGTAAGACAGTAACCTTATTTCTGATGCAGAGAGATATTTATATCAGGGTGTGTGGGGTGTTACAAGGTGTGATTTCCTCCTTTCCTTCCTTTTGAGAGCTCTGGTGAGGGATCAGCCTTGCAAGGTGCCTCTGGCAGTCCGTGTCACAGGGGACCAGGAGCTGTGCTGGCACTGTGAGGGGCAGGGTGGCAGCACTGGCTGCATGGGCCACAGAACCAGCCCAAATTCAACTCAGGGGCCACTGCAAAGCAACTGCAATTAACAGAGTGCAAAGCTGCTCAGCTGAGAGCTGCTGGCCATGGCAGCATCCGAGCAGGACCCTGCTCTCTGAGGTACCACACAGCTCATGGCACAACAGGGACAATGCCACTGGCAAATGCACAGCTGTGAGCAGAAAAGATACAGAAAAAATGAGAAGAAGACAATTGGAAGTCCCAGTGCAAAGTGGGCAGTTGTTGAATTTATTTTCAAGAGATCTCATGCTGCTAATCTATGGTGGATATAAGAGAAGGTGGAAAAAGATTTTTCATGCCTGTATATACCAAGAGCATGAAGTCATCCCCTATGAGAGCTCTACAGGACCAAAAAAGGGGTAGGTAGGAACCACCACATGGACCAACTGAACATATCCTCCCCTTTCAGATGATTATTTTACTGGGCAAAGCCACCAACAAGTTAGAAAACACTTCCCAACTGAAAAATTGAAGAGTACTTAAACTTCAGAGAGCCTTCTGTGTTCCTAGGAAGTGGAAGATGGCAGCTTTAAGAGCTGCAAACATTTACAGATTTTTGTTGGGTTTTTGGTGTTTTGTTTTGAAGCTTGCCAAAGGTTGTAGAAAATGGGAGCACAACCAGTTTCCCCAACAATGAACAGCCTTACTGTTGCTGGAAGCTGTCCAGAAAAGTCTGTAAGGAAAAATCCCTAGTGATGTTCTGACACACTTCTCAGTTTGAAATTAAGCCAAAGTGTTCAGTTTGTAAACCACAGTACTCTAAATCTAAGAAAGGTCATTATTTAGAATATACCTGCCACTTTGAAATAATAAACATTCTCATGGAAGCCTCTCAGAAAACCCTCACTTTGCTCAGTTTTTCCATGCATCAATGTTCCTTTCATTGAGCAGGAGGAGCTGCATAAAGTGACACAGAACCTCAAATGTGAGCCATTATGCCAAGCTTAGGAGAGCTGTGGCAGTCTCTCAAGGTGCTCCTTCCTTCATGGCAGACATGGTTATGGTCCAGCCCTGCAGCCCAGCACTGCTGCTCTGGGAACAGGCACTGACTGTACTGCCAGGATTGTTCTGCTTGGGCTTTGAGAGTCAGAGGCAGCCCTGAGGCCTCCTCAATTGCCAATGCAATCTTCACTTCTGGGCTAGTTTATGCTCTAAATTTTCTGCTTTGCTTGTGTTTTACATAAACTGATTTTATGGACCAAGATGCTTCTTGATCTTGAGAATGGAACAAATACATAGACAAGTTCTGTTCTCATTTGTCATGGCATGCTTACACATTATCTACCTTATGGTTTATGAAGGGCTTTCACAAATCTGATTGTTTCCACACATCTGTCCCAGATTATGCTGTGTTTCCTGTTCTTTACATCTTTGTATGCTGTTTTAAATATCCAAGTAAACACAAAGAAAACTGTCTAAAAAGATATTGAAAATCAACAAAAAGTGCAAGATGATAAAATAAGATCAATTTATGGAAACAGAGAAATGATGCTGCAATAAAATCCAGAACATTGAGTCATTTTTGCTGTCAGAGAAGAAAAAAAAAGTTAAGACTTCCACAATGTGCAGATTGGCAAAGACAGTGCATAGTACAAGATAGATATATATATATATACTCACACATATATATATGATACTTCTGTGTACTGAGCACAATATTAAAACTCAGCAGTTTAACAAGGAGTGCCTGATCATCTACTTTCATTCAGCTCCCTAGAACTGATGTTGTGGCACTATGTATACATGCTACTGGGCTACTGTAGTTCTTTCAGAACTAAAAAGACAGTGAGCTCAGGTAGGATTCATAGCAGATAGAGCCAGGAGAAACTGCCAAAAGCCCCAGCATTTTCAGTTTTTGTACCTACATACAGATCAGGAATGGAGGGACACCACAGATTCTTAAAACAGAATTTAAAAAGCACACTGCTCCTGTTGCAGGTTGTGTGAGATTTAACAAATTTCTTATTCAAAAAGACACATTCATGGAAGCTGTAGCAGATATTTCCACCACGGTCCAAGACTCCTGGCCTCAAGTCAAAGGTAATTTTTAAAAAATTACTTTAAAATTACCTGAAATCTCAAATTTAAACAATAACCTTCTAGTTTAAAACTGTACCCATATTAGCATTTCCCATCTTTCTTCAGAACAAATGTAGATGCATCCAGCTGTGGAGGGTTGCACAGATCACAGAGCTTTGTTTTAGAAGTGGGCTGCCCCCCACAGCTGATGATGCACACTGGGTTTAAGCCACTGTCCCTGCTCAGTTCCAGCTGTAGGCTGAGTTGCATGGTTTCTTTCCTTAACTAAGTTGTTGCATTTTCTCAAGTCAGCTGTGACAATGCCAGCCAAGGCAACCAACACCAGTTCCAAACATGGACATGTTTGGGAGAGCACTGATTATCATCACCATGGCATGGAATTCACCCAGTTCATCAGGTAGGGTACTTTCAGCCTTGCACTGTACACAATAAATCCAGATTCAGGCAGCAATTTACATATGTCAGGACTCTCTAAGCATTTCCTTGAAATGGTCTAACTCCAAATTACAGTCACAAGCAGAGCCTTGTATTCTGAAGGTTAAAACAGATGCCTGGTTTCTGGCCCCATCTCCCTGGTTTTGATCAGTAGTAGGAAACTGGAAGTACCACCCTTTGAGAAGTTCCAAGATGTGGTAGAACTAAACAGGCTGTTACAAAACTCTACTGGAAAATTGACCTGCACATCAAAATTGTATAAGCAATTTTCATGAATCATAATGGATTAATGGGAAATATAGCAGCTTGATTCATTCCCAAATTGCAAAACTAAATTCAATCCTTTGGTTTGAAATGTGAATCAGACTTCTGAGCTTTTCCCTTTTGCTGATAAATTTGCATAAATGTTGTACTTTTTGTTTAGAATTGAAGAGCTCTATTTGCACTTCAGCTGCAACTCACTTCAACAAATGCACCCCATTTTAAAATAAATATACAGCTATTGAATCTTCATTCAATCTTCCACACAAAACTTCAACTCACAGCTGTGCTCAGCTGCAGGCAATGATTCAGACCTTTTTTCTCTTCAATATCATAAAACAGACAGAGATAACAAATTTAACAACACTTACCTTTATTTGCTTGTAACCTTATGTTTTGTTTATACTTTCATCATTGTTATCAAACACCTCATTCTTCAAACATAAGCATGCTAAGTGTATTAGTACAGAGAACAGAATTACTTTGGCACTACCAACTCTATCAAAGAAAGAAGAATTCACAAGGCATGCTTAGCATCTTGTTATACAACACAGATGGTGCCACAGATTCTTAGGTATCATCATGAGTTAATGGATTTATTCTATGCTTTCCTCTGAAGAAAGAAAGTATTTAGTTCTCAGCAGGAAGTTTAGTTTTCAGAAAACCAAGGCTAGAAAAGCCAAATCTTTTGTTAATTGCAGGAGCCACTTTTTTTTAAATATAAATAAATCCTACCTTTTGATAAACCTGAATGACATGTTTCTAAAAGAAATTAAGCCAAAATAATAATTAACAAAAAATTTGTACAAAATAAATTGAAAAAGGCATTTAGAGCGAAACATGCAAAAATATCTCATTTTAAATGCACAATTAAATTACACTTCAATACATTCTCAGATTAGGCAGATGATTTAGGGGCTGAAGAGTCAAACTCCTGGCACTGTTACTTTCAATTTTTTCAGGGAAATATGTAACCAGTATTTATTATGAATTAAAATATGTACTGGTGTCAAAACACTTGAAAACTCAAAATCTGCAAGGTCAGGTAAAAATATGTTTGGATCTTCTTCATATATTTATCATGGAAAGCAAAAATCAGTAACACTACCATGATTCTATCTTGAGTATCTTCAGAGTTAGGTTGCCTCCTTTCTTCATAACATTAGGTCAGCCATGTTGTGCTAAAAACTGCCTTAAATATTTAGCTTTTTTAGTGGCAGAAGCTGTAACAATTGCCTACACCAGAACATAAGTAGTTAATCACCAAAAGAATTCTGATTCCCCATTGAGAATGCTACAATAAATTAATGAGTAATAAGGTTTAAGAAAAATCTAATTAACAGGAAGAAACATAACCATGTCCTTCAGTGGCACTATCCACCTCCTCAGTAGTTTGCACAGCACTGAATATAACAGAGCCCCAGCTGCAAGAGATCCTCCAAGAGCAAACTAATCATCTGTAACTGTGCTATTGTGTTACAATTGCTTGTTATTTAATCAAGTCCAGATGGAATTTAAACTACTGTCAAAAGTCGTGGGGAAAGACTTCTTCAAGAAAACCACACTGCACTGCAAAAGATGAAACTCTGAGGTAATGATAGAAGTTTGAATGCTGCCTAAACAACTGAGTGAAAAGTTTGCATGTTCACAGTTTGAGCGTCCACATTTGGAACGTCAAATGGAAAATTAAGTAAGGATATTACAAACAAAAGTACAGAAAGAAAGACATGCCAAAAGGATGTGCCTGATTAAGACTTCACTTGACAGAAAGCAGATGGCTTAACACTTAAAAAATATTCAAATTAAACTTCTCTCTCTCTCTCTCAACATAAAAAGATGGGGAAAAACCCAAACCAAATTTCCTACAGCACAGTTTTTCCCAGAGAAGTGTTACCTGGCAGAGAACTGTGCAAATTAAAACATTTATCAAAGGCTAGGCTCTCATGTTCTTGTTTTGCAAAGAAGCAACTTCTACATTTTTAAGGAAATTCACCCTCTAAACTGAAATCAGCCATTTGTGAAAAACTGGAGTGTGGCTTAGCATTATTTTGTAGGAATGGGAGACTGCAAAGGTGATACTGAGAGGGAGGCATCCATAGCCATAAAGTAGATAGGAAGGAAATGGCTTGCTGCTGACGTGGTATAAGCTTAAAACAAAAGCTAGCAGGCCAAGATTAGAATGATCTTGTCCAAAAAACTTCACCTGATAAGGAATGTACAAAAGCTTGATGATTATCTTAGATCAAAGACAAACAAGCCCTCAATTCTGCACATGCAAGTTGTGGAGATCAGTGGTCTGAAGTATGTGGTGTGGGAACTGACAGGTTTCAAATAGAGAAGGAAGAAAAAAAAATCAATTTTAGGGTTTGTAGTAACTAATCTAAATAATACATGGATTTGGAACTAGAAGTTCAGTTAGAATAAAATTGTTAGTGCAGGAGCAAGACCTGCTGAAGCTTGGCTTTGGCTGGACCACCACACCTTCACACCTAACACAGAACCTGCACATCAACTAAAGGCCAAAGTAGGAGTAAATTTTTTTAGGTTTGATCAGACTCCTGTCTGGTCTGAAACAGACTGAAACACTAATACTGCCATGATTTTAAGATGGCCTGTGACAGCACTGCTGCCAACAGAAGCTTTTTTCTCCTGCCCCTACCGCTTCACCTGTGATATTTCTATTTCTGTGTGGCTAGCAAGGTTATACTGGAAACACTGATGGACTAAGTGACTGGAAAACACAACCTGAGCTGCTAATGCTACATGAAATATCTAGACTGGGCTCCTAGTTTATGCCATCTACTGAGCAGCTTTTCAACTGAGCTGAAATGTTTCATCTCTGCAGACATGAGGCTGAAGAGCACAGAAGAAACAGCACAGACCAAACTGTTTCCCATTTAATCCCATTTGACTCAACACCCAAAAACAAATGGCTTCTGTAACCAAAATAGAAAATATGAAAAAATCACAAGCAACTGCATTTTAAGTCGCAGAACTTCAGCCATTAATCAGTGGATGTGGACAAAAATCGTTTAAGCGATGAAGTATTCCTACTACAAAAAGGAAATAAAAGGCAGCCACACTGCACTGGCATTTTAAGAGGCTTACCTTCTGGTTAGTTTGGAAGTGAGTTTGCTGAAGAGGTTGGTGGAGCCGCGGGCGCGGGTCTGCGAGAGCGGCGTGGCCTCGTGGGACAGGCTGGGCGAGGCGGGCGGGCCGTTGTAGGTGGCGGTGCGGCGCTCGCGCAGCTGCCCGTGGAACGTGCTGCGGCTGGCCGTCCCTCTGGGGAAACGAACACGGTCAGGGGTGCTCGCACTGCTAATGCTGTGGGTGGAAGCAACGGGAGTTCTCTGATCGGGAATAGCGCTAGGGCAGAAAACAAAACAAAGAAACCAACGCTAGAACGCCTCCGCACGGGCACTGCGGCTCAGCAGGAAACACAAAACGCTACGTTCTACGGTAAAGCGTAAGCACACACTTTGGTATAGGCCGAGGTTGGAAATACCAACATCATTACAGCACCATATGGAATCAAAACTTGTAAGAAGTTAGGATTAAGAGGCTGCCGAAACAGAAACCTACATAGGCAGAAAAGTGCAACAGGAGTATCCTGGAAAAGACCAGATAAACCAGGCCTACGGTGTTTTGCTGAGAAGACTGATAAAAGAATAGACTGGTAAAGTTTCCTCCCAGGAAAGAGAATAGGTAACTTTAATGTCTCTCCCTCCACGTTCTGTACATACATCTTTGAAAGTCTTGCTAATTTGAAAGTATCCTACACAAAATTAATTTGAAAGTCTCCTACACAAAATTCTCTACAAGCGAACTGCTCCAAGTAGTGAAGTCCTTCGGGATACACAGTTAAAAGTCTCCCACAAACTTTGACAATAGGGAATGTCCAATACTCCTAACAATAGGAAAAACTTAAGGTTCACTATTGCAGGATTATGTCACAGACAGCCTGACACACCACAAGACAAATGTAAACGAGACTAAAAAAATGAGGAAACACACATCTTGTGGGCAAAATATACTAGAACAATCTAGGACTAAAATTCCACAGCACAAAGTTAAGAAGCAGTGGGTATAAGTTAGTGTCACAACGATTTCTGGTTCTTACATAGGCCTGAAGTTATCTGCGCCATTGTCTATTGGAGGCAACATCATCTTCGTGTGCACAGAGGCTGACATGGACATCGACTTCTGATGTCGCAGCCGAACACTGGAGAAGGATGTGGTACAAACTGAAGCAGGGCTAGCTGCGTAAGCGAACATTTCTGTCAGGCTGCGAGGGGGTTTGGGTTCAGGCAGAGGCAGAAAGAAGAGCATGATGGACCAACAACAAACTACTGCATAGAAAAAAAAAGCAAACTTTTCCTTCTATTAACTGGTTTATCAAAGAACACGAACTCTAACAGCCCTCCTCTTCTATGTAACAGCAATAACTGCCCTACACTCCCCTTAAAAAGCATCCTTACTTACATGGTACTGGACATCTCTAAAAGATCCCCTTAAAAAGCATCCTTACTTACATGGCACCGCAACTCTGTAAGTGCCCATGCTCTTACCATTAGCATTAGTTTGCAGCGATACCCTCCTTGATGTACAGAACCTGAATAACTCAGAATTCTATGCCAAAGCTCTACGATAAAGCACTGATGTAACTTGTATTGCTCTTAACAGTAAACAATGCATTAAAACCCCCACCAAATGCACTTTCCAAAAGACTCATGATAGTTCCATTACTACAGCAAAATCCTTTGTTTTCAGAATGTTAAAAGAAATTAGTGAAAGCTGGTCAAGCTGTTAAATCTACATCAGATAACTGAGAGACTTCACAGGTACAATCAAAACCAAAAATACCATGATCTTTAACAACTCCAGAGATGCCAAAAGAAAAAGGCTGCTAATAATGAACCTGTATGTGTAATAAGCACTGACATGCTTGCTGCTCCCTGAAGAAAGAAGAATGACTGTTGAAGAGCATCTTGTATTGCTTTGACCATGAGCATTAAATTACCGTTCAGGCTTTGAAGGAATGTATAGAGCACTGTCTTAGCAGAATGGCCAGTAAGCTGCCAGCTGCATGGTATGTTCAAATAGGAGCATTAAATTTAGTTATTTATTTAAGCCAAAATACTTTTGCAGCCTTCACATTATCTAGTAATGATAAGGATAGGAGAAAAGTGAGAAGCCACAAGATGTTTTGGCCCTTTCAGACTACACCACCACCTCATTCATCTGAAGTTTGCTTTAAAAGTAAGACAGCTATAATTGAGAAATTCTGCTTGAGGTTAAGAAATCAATAATTCTCAGTGACAGTTTCATGACACTGCATGTTCACTTCCAAGTTACTTCTTGGTTACACACAAAATCTCAAGTCCTGTTACCGAATTCTGGCACATCAGACTCTGGAGAGAAGAATGCTAGTGCAGCTACAAGTGTCAGCTCCCCCACTTCTCAGGCTTGGCTCCCAAAGCACCAGTGCAAAGCACCACACAGCTCAGACATCTGAACTGCTACCTAAAATGCTTAGCAAAACATACTTGGTTTTGGTTTGTTTTTAACTTTTCAGGATCTGAAAAACTTCATCTGAGTCATGCATACATCTCAACAATGTTGAATCCATCAGGATGACAACTACAAGCACTACTTACAATGAAGCCTTCAATACAGGCACAGCATTTACATTACTCCGGGGTTTTAAGGAATTTTCAGAAAATGAACATTCATCCCAAAACTAATACCCTGAAGTCACAAAATTGGTCACTAGTCTCTCAAGCTCTTCCAGCTCATTTCCTGTACATTTACTACAAAAGATAAAGAATCTAGTTTTACAATACAAGACTCCAATTTTTAGTCACCTGCCTCCAAAGATGTGATATCTAAAGATATCAATAAAGGACCATCTCTTCCTCTGATGCTTTACTAGAAATCAGCTTCTTTGGATTACTAGCCTGGGAACACAGGAACAGTGAACTAACAATCACCAATTAGTGCCAAGGCTTATTAAAAATCTGAAGCTGTTGTAAATCATTTGTGTTACAAATGATTTAAAGCAATTGCCTATCATTATGAAGAGTGTTTCATGAGTCCCCAAGTGCGTTAATTAATGCTCAGGCTTTGGAGGAAAGCCAAAGGAGCTGTCTCCAGCAGAACGCCTGTGTCAGCCACACAATGTGTTAAAGAGAGATGGGAGACTCAGAACTCTTTGCTTCCACCAGTCTGGCATGGGTCTTCAAGACTACTGTCTCCAACATCAGATCTACTGACTATTGATTCTTTAAAGCTTTCATACTTTCAGAAACAGTGCCTTCTCATAATTCAATGTGCAAGATAAAAGCAGAATAAGCAATGTTTTAACGCTTTCTCTACAGAAAAAAGTGGAGATTTTAAATGTGTGCATCTTGCCTTTTATGGTAAGTCTCCCAAGTTTTTACTGAGTCACAGTCAGTATCTGAGTAGCTATGGAAAATCTAAAATCTAATCTGTAATAAACCAATTCCAGCAATTACTCTAGCCTGTAACATTTGCCACCAACAGACATTTCAAAAGCATAGAAGTAATTTTTAACTAAACCTTGTATATGTACAAAGCCCAGGTTCAACTTCAGATCTTGCTTTATAGAAGAAAAAAGAACAAGTTTCTAGAGTTACTTTCTGCCAAGCTGAGAGTACAGTAACATTAAAGATTAATTCTGAAGAGCCAGTCCCATCAATCACCACGTTGATTTTTCCTGCATTAAAGGTCCCTGCACTTTGTGTGACCAGTCAATGCTTTACCCAGTTACAGCAACAAAATACATTCAGATGTAAATTCTGAATTCTGTGCCAAATCACAGTAATTCTGAAACTGTGCCAAAATGAACATGCAGTTTAGTATTGAAGCATTTCAGACAATGAATGGTCTCCAACTGTAATACAATTAGCAATGCATTCTCATTACCCTTTCTGTTTTTAACCCTCTATGAAAAGTAATGAATGTAATAATCAAAAAGTGCACGATAAAAGCTATAAAAACATTTTTACATGTGCAAATATAAATTCTCAGACATTTCAAATGACCCACATAAGGTTGGTTTATAGAAAAAGCTAATGATGTTTAAATACCACATTGACAATAAAAGGTAAATTACACAAGGATAACCAATTATGAATATAAACCACAACTAATATAGTTGTCAAGTGCTACTCAATCTTAACTTTAAGGTCTATATGTGACAAACCAGAAAACATCAGTTTCCTGAGAAACTGAAAGCTGGGGAAATAAAATTACTTCATAAGATAGTTCTTTATGAGTATGAACTTACTCCAAAATTAAGGGAACATCTAAATCTCAAGCATTCCCAGTAAACAATATCTAGTAGCTTTTAAAAATGCAATAAAGAAACTGTAGGCAAGATATTAGTTTAAGGATGAACAGAAATGGTACTAAACCAAGTAATCAAGTAGTAAAAATTTATCAAAACTATTACGGACAGAAAGATTCATTTTTTCAAAGAGTGCTTGGAAAGAAAAAAAGCTATTAACACATCAAATCAGAGAAAGGATGATGACTTTTACCCTAAACAACTTGGTAACATTAACAAGGAGTGACCAGTGGATGCTGAGACAGACACACTAAGGGACAGCACCAAAGAGCTGGGCTGTACTTCACAAAACAGGTGACTGCACACCCAGCTGGCCAACTACACTTTTGGCAGTCTTCAAACTTACATCTGACTCTTTCCTTAAGCACTTTCCATTTGCAGAAAGCTAGGAGGAAGAGACAGGGTCAAAATCATGCTCCTTATCCCTAGGCTCCAGGAATCAAACAGGGAATAGACAGGCTTTCCAGTCAACATCTCAATTCCTCATCAACTCCCAAAAGGAGGGGAAAAAATTTGTGCAAAAACACAAGTTAGAAGATATAATACTAGGAAGGGCTGGAGAAAATTGGGAAGCACAGTAGAAGGGTACACATTCTTTCTTTTAAGTACCAGGCAAGGGTTAACTATTTAATTGTTACCATCTTTTGACAGCAGTAAAATTCTGACAAGAAGGGCTGGATACTAAAAAACCTCAGCCAGCCAGGAAATTTGGTGGTGTTCCTCCCAACTGCTACTCTATACCTGACATCTATGTTCACTATAATATTATTTCTGACAGCTCTTCTCAGTCTTCACAGGATGGCAGTAGATGTGGCCACAGTGCCAACACATACAGTGGTTAGCTCCAGTTTTACTGCATGCTCTACTCAGGCCTTCATTCAGTAAATTAAAAAGAAATGTGTTATTTCTCTGACTGTTTTCACTCAGAATATGGAGATATTGCCTCAGAAGGGAAGCAGCTGAGTTCTGTAAATCCTGGGAAGCTAAACTGCCAGAGTATCAGCAAGGAACACTGTTAGCCCCAGACAATGGTGGATCACCATTTCATCTTTGCTCAGAAAAAAATACCTTCTCCCTGAGACTTTGCAGCAAAAACAGTATTTCAAATAATTCCAGTGAAGCAGAGTTTAGAGTGAAATAAAAAAGGAGAATGGCTCAAGAGAGATGGACTTTGTAGTCTGACACTAAACAAGGCTCTTCTGCAAGCACATGCAGAAGAGTTTGGCCACAGGGGTTCATAACAGATTTAAGATGAAGGCTGCTACAAATATTTCATGTATTTAACCAGAAATTAGAAACTTCCTTTCACATTCTAAGTATAAAGACTATTAAATGAAATACAGGAAGAAAACCCAAGCCCCAACATACTTACAGGTGCTCCATAACCAAAGATCTGTACTCACCTTTCATCATGAATTACATTAGAATACCACTTATTTTAAAATAAGGCATTAGAATTTCTTTGGAAAGGTGAAGACAAGTGACATACACCATAGGAAGACATTTCATATACCTGTTCTCCTTGCCATTTTGTATCACTGAATGCCTATCAGCAGTGGTTCTTTCACTACAAACATAAGTGTTGCGCCGTGTCATTGCTCCAGGGGTAGTATTATTCTACAATTAAAAAACATAGGTTTGTTATTCCCCACAGAAGGCTTTTCTGAGGTTAGTCTGCATATAACTGAAGGCTTTTTACTTAATGCTAGTTCTACACAGCTCTAAAACTTACAATAATGAAATAACTTAATATACAAACTCCATCTAGTATTTGTAAGGAATATTGCAATCAGAAAAATAATTCTAACAAGTTGTTCTTGTATTTCATACTGATGGCTCAAAATTAATATTCCTTAAAGGTTTTAATTACAAATGTTCTGCATTACAAATTCTCAGTATATACAGCATTCTTCTACATCTGCATAGCCTGTGTCTTTATAACCTATTTTTGAAATACTTTACCACTTGTAGCTTGGAGAATTTTCCTTTAAGTTAAAATCATACCCTTAAACAAGATAGGAAAAGCAAAGACTTAACAAACAAATGTGGTAAAATTCAGTGGGAAGGTAAACATGGACTTTTAAATATTAAGATACTATGAAACACTAGACAAGTTTTAAAAACAGGGAAGAATAAGAGACAAATTGCAGAGAATTTTAGTACGACAATTTTTAAAAATACACATTTCAATGCAAGCATAATACATTGAGGACAAGAGAACCAGGGGGACTTAAACTACAGACCTTACTTTAGAGGGGAGAAAAGAAATAGAATTACTTTGCCTCTGTCTTTACAGAGAAAGAGGGTGGAGATATGCCCAAGTTGGCGGTCAATTTTCCAGGAACGACTGAGAAGCTATAGGTAATTCACAGATAACAGAATTATAAAGAGTTAGATGCAATTACTGTAGGAAAAGCAGGGTGGTCCAGACAAACATGCACCCCCAGGTCGTAGAGGAAGTAAAAGCTGGCAAGCCTTTGTATTTTTTTCTCCCCACCCCAAGAACAAAACACAGGAAACTGCAAATGGTTGAAAAAGTAGAAAAAAATCTTTCAATGTTTTCTTTAAAGAAAAGGATCACGGGGCAAAGCAGGAAGCAAAAAAGGCTATAAACTTCAAACATCACTGCTGGGGAAAGTCTTGGAGGAGGTCAGCTTAAGGGAATGACTGGTCAGCACCTGGATAAGCACATGTTGAGTAAGGAGGGCCACTAAGAATCAGGCAGGGGACTTCATGCTCAACTAACCTTTTGGAGCTCTTTGAAGAATTATGCTATGACGGACAAGGGAAACTCAGCAGATTTTAAAAATAGCATTAAGAAAAAGTTTCGCATAAACGGTCACAGGAGAGAATCATGGCAAGAAGGATTAAAAAAAAAGAAAGGAAAAACTAGTTCAAGCACAAAAGCAGAGTAGCCAAACCTTTTTTGTTTCCGAACCTGAAATAAAACTGTTAAAGTGGAGTATTCCCAATAAATACCAAAAGCTCCTCCAGTGCCTTAAGGCAAAATATCTGCTATGTAGGGAGTCTCAAGCAACACATTCCCTGAGCTATTTAACCTTGAAGCCATCTTGTCTAAGGGACTGCTGACCTGTTTGTTACACATCTTTTTACACAAATGTACAGTGCACAACCTCCTGGTGTTAAAAAGTACAAAGACAAAGGATATTTTAGATTGGCAGAACAATTAATTAATATGTTAGATGCATGCAGCTGTCTAAAGGGTTCTCAAGTATTCTTCACTATAGTCCTTAGGGATAAACATGTGGCAAGTGTCACATGCCTTCCTGACCCTTTCCTTGTGCTTTACTCCTTATACATCACTTGTCTTCATATACATTTATTTATTTTAAAAAACCCCACCACCAATTCTTCCACTCTGACATTTATCACTGTATAAACTCCTCTCTCTTTACTAAGCATGCCAGCAATGAAAGCTGTGCACCTAAGGTGAAGTTTTGTTTATCTCTTCTTGGGAAGCCACACTTTGCAGGACACTTCATGCAGGCCTGACAAACCAATGGTACAGCAAAATATTGCTTATTAGTATTTGCAGATCATTTTGTTCCTGAACATACTAGAGGATGAAGCACCTAAAACATCCAACACTGCTCTTCTGGTGGGAAATAAGCAAAATAATCAGTGGCTTCCTTCTTTCCACCTGCTCCCTTTGAACATGAAATGTTGGTTTCCCTTGAAAAAACACCACATAACATTACAATGTATTGTCATGTGGCACATCTGGAAAGACAAGACTGCAAACTCTGTGCTGGACCAGACTTTTAAGACTATGCATTTTCAGGTTAGAGAGTTTTGCTATTCAAATCTGAAATGAGAGGACTGCAAGGACAGGCTCTCCCAGCTCATTCTGAAATGCAAAGATGGAAGCATCAGTATACATTTTTTCCTGTTTGACTCAGATTTCAGAGGTCAGAGGAAGAGATTAAGCACTTCAAAGTTTCAAATTTCAGTTCTGGCAAGAATAGTCTTGGTATTGGGGCCTTTACACTTTCTAGTGTATGACCTTTCACGATTCATCAAGGAAGCTCTTCAGCTGTGACTTTTTGTTCAGCCAATCTCCAGACTGTTAATCTCTGGACTTGACTAAACAGCACAGGTGCACAGCACTGGAAACTGGTGAGAGCAGCCTTCCCTGATGGAATGACAACCCCCAGGCTCAGGGGTGGCTGCCTAAGTTCATCTTCATGGCATTGTGTGCCTTCTTTGCAGGAGGAGCTGACACAGCCCAGCACATGTTGAGACTTGTGAGCACATGCACAAGGTCCAGTCAGAGCACAAAGGATGAAGCTGTGCTACAGAGTCCTCCTCTTTTCCTAGAGAGAGTCTTGTGTGCACTGCTCAGGCAGGCTATTTCCCATTAAGAGACACCAGGGGAAGGACTGATGGAAAACTTTCATATAAAGCTTCTGACTTACAGCAGTGAACCAATGTATTTAGTTAAGAGCACTAGTATGGTTTTTGGTCCTGGATAACTTTTCAAAGGTACCACCTATTCTCCTATTACAGTTTTCTCAAAGCTATTCTAAGGGTTCTGGGACAGCTTTATTACAACACTGAGGAAAAAATCCAAAGCTCTAAGAAACAAAAAAGGAATTATTAAGACACAGATATATCAGTTCCTGCTAACTATCCAATGTCTGTAGCAGGTTTTCATTATTAATTTGGTATTTACCCAAATAGCTTGAAGATTTTTGATCTGTACTTGTTCAGCTTGCAGAACAATTTTGTTTACAAGAGTTTAAACACTCTTATCAACTTTAGAAGTACAGCTTGGAGCCCCTCACTCCAGTCCCAGACTCAGCTATCTGCTCTCCAGGCACAACTCTTATCCTCAAGTGCAGGCTTTTATGCTTTGTTACTCAATAACAGCAGCACACATCTGACTAAGGGTCTCCAGCAAGGACTGGTTCTACTGCTTTTGCTTTTGTTCTGTGAAAATTCTGATTGTTTTTATAGGATATTTTTACATCTCTTCAGTGCTCTTCCATCATATTACAGATTTCAGGACTTCAGTGCTCAGTAAAACAGAAACTCTCTTCACCTTAAACTTTTTTCAACCTCAGGACAATATGGTAACTCCTGTATTTTTTTTTCCTTCTGGATGCATGCCAACACTGTAAGAAACAGAATTCCCTACTCAGCTGCAGGAAATGACTAAAAACTCATTTTTTGAGTGCTTCCCTTCACTCCCAACAACCAGAAAGCCAAAGTGTCATCTTTGCAGTCTTTTGCAGGGGAGAGAAAAAGGAAAAGGAAAAAAACGAGTTTGAACTGTCTGGTGTGAAGAGCTATAAACAGAGACAATTCTAAACACTAATTATTGAGTGACAACATAAGTCTGATTTCCTGTTTACCACCTGGTAACACTGCTAGTAAAAGATCAGCTGGACCAGTTGCACACTGAGTCAGGGAAGCATTGAATGGTTATGAGCTGAAATTTTGTTTCAGGTCCAGGAGTAAGAAATTTGAAATAAGCCTACTGGAATAAATCCCCAATATTTGGGAGTGGCACAGAATAGCAGATGAAAAGCTACTGAATGTAAAGTATGTTGTAACTGTGACACAAATCTTTTGAACAAGGCATCATACAATACCAAGTGAAGTCCAAAGTAGGACAAAAACTGATTTGTTTATCCTACCATTTTGAGATTCAATAGCTAAGAACTGTCTTTTAAGAGAAAACCAAATCTGAATGGTTTCTGGACTGATCAAGGACAAAGGGAAACTGTGGAGGACCACAAAAATAAAAAAGGGTTCCCCAAAATCCTGAATTCTCATTCACATTTATGAATAACAGCTGCTACAGTAGAAAATGTGTTTTTCCAAGGAAACACTTGGGCTGATATCCTTGAGCCAACTCACTACTAACCACTGAGTCAACTGACAATACAGGGGCAATGAAGTAAACCAAATTTCATTTCACTTCTTTTGCTTCAGACTGTCCTGCAGCTCAGGAAGTTATGTTCTCATTTGCTGTAAGTAATGGTGCTAATTATTGTGACCAAAGGAACTGTGACAGCTTTGTGGGATGAGTTAAAAAAAACAAAAGTTCTGTTGCAAGTTGAACAAATTGAATAAAGGACTGGGAATTTTTTTCTTCTGAAAAGAAGGAAGTTTTTCAATACAAAATCCCAAAGTTTTAGAAATTAAATATCACATGACTGAAGCATTATGTGAAAACAGATTTCCAACTTTGCCTTTGAGGGAGGAACCACAGAGAACACAAGTTAAAGCCAAAATGAACAAAGGATTTTCTTTCTTTTGGCATGCTGCCTGTTGCTAAACCATGAACATTTACTACTTTTGCTCCTTTGTATGTTTTTATTGTTGTTGTTGTGGTTTAGAGGCAGGTGGGGGAAGCCCACAAGGACAAAAGCCAGGAACACTCCTTTTGAATACAGGCTGAAATACATCTTTAAAGAGTTTTTAGAACTACATTTCTTTGATATTCTTAACAACATAACTATGACTTAAAATAGTAATGTTTGAGGACAAAGATTAGGTGGCTCCTTATACACATGAAACTATAAAACAGGATAACAAAAATAGAGATTTCATTCTTCTGTACAGAGGCCACAGAGGAGTGGTTGGTATCAGGAGTAACATAACTACCTTTTCATGCTTTACTTTTTCTTAATACCCAACTCATGTCTGTTTACCAAGAGCTACTAATGCTAATTATGAATACTGACTACTTCAAGACTATTAAGAGGTAAAGTGAATAGCTGACATTACAAGGGAAAAAATACCTACATTTACTCTTGATAAATGAAAAGTAAAATCAGCACCACTGATAAATCACATATTTAACACTTTTTTACATCTCGAAAAAAATTTAAGGTTTTGATAAATAAACATTTCTACTTACACTAGGGACAGCTGAACTTTTCTTACGTTCAGGAATATCAGCCTTATTGGGATTGCTGGCATTCCCAAGCATTGGGCTAGCTGGTGCAATTCCTCTTCCTGCAACAGCACTACTGCTGGATTTTCTTGACTGAATTCCTTCCTCTTTGAGGTCACTGTCTGTAGTACTAGTCTGGCTTCTTTTAGGATATGCCACTACTGAGGGGATGGATGGTCCAGCTTAAAAAACAAACAAAAGAAACAGGAAAAGGATTTTTCTTCTCAGAAGTTCAGTGACTATTTTTTATCACAATGGAAATGTATTCAGGAGAACCAACACAGTTAACACTGGGAACCAGAGATGCAAAAAGATAATTAAATTATTGAAGTAGATGTATTTCGGGAAACAGTAGAACATTGTGAAAAACAAAAACCTTGTAAGGTGAACGTACAACTTGATTTCCATGAAAGTTCCAAGAATTTCATTAAGGTTTCTCATTTGGCTTGCTAGAAAAATGCTTTAGAGACATCTTAAAGACACTTAACAAGTAACTGACTCATTCAAACCAGAGCATCCCTCATTAGCACAGAGCTGCCATGTGCTGCTCAAGCCAATTTCCTGAGACAGGCAGGTGGTGACACAGCCCTGGTGGCTGCTGCTCTGTGCTCCTGCACCAGTGGCAGTGGCTCAGCCTCCCACGTGTGCCAGGAACACAAAACTGCTCCCACACCTGAGGATGAGGAAGTCCCTTCAACAGTGCCAGGCTCCCTCTTGCTTTAAGAGCCTTCTTCAGACTGGGTGAAGTCTGTGGGGTGTGTCAGGATTGTGTTCTCTGACATCTCACACCTCTGAAGAGGATACATCACGTTACATCAACTTCTTAGTTAAATGTTTTAATAAGAATGAATCAAAAAGTGTATGTATGTATATACACAGACAGAAAAAATACATTTAAATGCATAAACATATAAATATATAATATGTAGCTAAAACATGTTTTACAAGTATCAAAACCCTCAGTAACTGGCATCCCAGTAGACTGCCCAAGCAAAGCAACCTCTGAGTGCAGAGAAAGCTCATGAAAGGAATCCCAGTTTAGGCAAAGTGTCTGAGCAGGAGGATGTTTAAGACATCTAGAAAATCCTAATCTACTACATTGCACTCTCATTAAGCAGAAAAGTTGTAAGTTTGTCAGAGTCATTGTTCTTTAGAAATTAAATTCCTGGGGGACAACCAAGTGACACTAGCCTCAGGAAACAGGAAACCAGAAATATTGGCAAACTGACATTTCTTCAAGTTTTAGACACAAGCTGACCTACTAGTGTCAAAAGAAAACAAAAGCTGAACAGACATACAAGAGGATGGGGGAGGAGTGCTGTGCTTTTCATGAAAAAGGGGGTTGCAACATTCTCTTCAATTTGTGTAACAAGATTTTGCCAGCACAGTCAGGAATTTATGGGACAACACAAGGCAGAACAAGAGAATTAAGTTGGTGTATTCAGTGTTCCCCTAAAAGCTCTTTTGAAAGCTTTATAACAAAACCAATTTAAAAAATCAATTATTCACTAAAATATTTAACCACCATGCTATGAACTATGCTGTTGTCATCCTCCTTACACTTGGGGGATGGAGACAAATCCAGAAACTGAGCAGAACTGGAAGCCACTGTACCCTGCAAGGCTGAAAATGAGAGAAGCTCACCGTGATCACTGTACCGCCGCTGCTTCTGGCTGGAAGATATGCTTCTCTGAACTTTGTGATGAGGAGATTGTCCAGTGCTATTATTAAGATCACTACTTGGCCTAACTTTGGCAAGTGAAAGGTTGCTGCTGGAGCTTGAGTCACTTGCATCCAACTACAATACAAACGAGAGTATGAAAACGAGAAGTTCAGACAAAACAAATTAAAGCATCCACCACATTCTGGGAGCAGGAACAGGGGGGTGGAAGGTGGCTCTGCTACATGGGAAATTACTGATGGCATGGGCAGCTGCTTAGAGGTCCCACCTTCTTTAAGGTTGTTGCACAAGTGTCTTAGGTAAAACTCAGGGGAATTTGCAGCTCCTCAAAGGATAATCAGTAAAGAAAATCCATTTGTCCTTTCAGAACTCCCCCCTTAGAGTTCTCCAGGGTTTTAACAGGAAGAGAGGATATACTTTGTAGAGGCCATCACACCAACTCCTCCAGCAGAGGAACCAAGAGCAGCTTACTGATGCTGAGCCCTCTCAGCACTGCATGGAAAGGTAATGTACAATGCAAGAACTCTTTCAGGTTGGTCAGTCCTGCTCCTTGGTTCTCCTAAAATAGTTACAGCTGGCACATTCACACCTGAGCTCCTAGACAAGCCAGGACAGTAATTAACTGCTGAGCAAACAGGGCAGTTCTGGAGAGCCTAAAGGAAAGAGTTCACTGGCTCAAAATCAGGTGAGAACAAATTTGCTTAATTTGGACTGCTGATGAGTAGAACAACATAACTTAAAATGCAATGGATTTTTGTGCAGGAATGCAATGCCTACAGTAACTGACTTAATTTTTGCTTCTAACTCTGCTAAGGACACTTTCTGATTTGCTTCTTTGCAGTTTTAAGAATGGTACTTACCTCTGATGACTTCCTTCCTAGCAGTAAGTATGTAGCTGTGATTTCATCATACTTCATTTTACTAAGGGATTCTTGAATTTCTTCTTGAGAATATCCCATTCCTACCATAATATCTAAAACCAAGCAGACATTTTGTAAGTAACTGAAACTCTGATGTTCAGGCTGGCTGAGTGTTCAAGAGAAAGGATTAAAACAGAATTATTAATTTTGAGAATATAAACCTGATCAAGTATCAGTTTTAAAGGACTAGTTACTTTTTCCAAATGTCAAACAAATACAGAGTGGTGATGGAGGAAAAAAAAAACAACCCTCCCACATCATGCAAGCAGTATTGTGGTTCTGGGAAGTACTCAATTACCTATTCTTTTCTGGTCCGAGATGTCTAGTTCTGGTTCAACAAAAGGTTTAAGTTCATCCTCCTCATGCCCTGCATTGATCCACCTGTCCTTCATAATTTGCTATGGAAAAAAAAAAGTTTTGTTAGTACAGTACACTCAGCAGCAAAGAAATCAAGCTGTGAGAAGAACTTCTTTATACAACAAACACTAAGGTCTTTCCTAGTTTTTATTTTTCAGAACTTTTCCAACTTTGCTCCAGTGAGGAGAATCAACTACACACATCAAGCCAAGCTTCTCCCCACAGTCAGCTGAATTCCAGCTCACGGCAGAGAGCCAAAAGCCTGCAATGCAGACCAGGAGCAATGTGACAACTTTGACATGGCTTGGAATTCCAAACTCCACCAACAGAATTCCATGGAAGCCCTGTTTTAGTCTTTACTCCTCCAAGAGGGTACCAAAGGCAACTACAAGAGCCAATATCTCCAGCTCACAACTGAGAATGTGGAAAACAATGTGGTGGATCATCAATTAATTAAATAATTACTGCATTAATGCATTAATTAATCCACAAGCTAACTGCCAAGAAAAGTTATATGACATGGAAAGTGTTGTGACACACTGAATTTGAAAGTAACTGGAGTCAGGTGTATTACAACCCCAGTAAAAAATATCTTTGAAGAGTCATGTGCTTTCATCAACAATCCCACCTCCACCCCAAATATGCACAGGAACAGGGTGGAAATAATAAATTACACCTCAAAAATGCACTTTGCAAAATTTGATGCACCTCATTTGTGCAGTTACCTCTAGAGTGCCTCTTTTTGTTGGGTTTAGCACCAGGAAACGTTTGAGGAGGTTTTCACAGTCTGTGGACATGTAGAAAGGAATCCTGTATTTTCCCCTTAGCACTCTTTCTCTAAGTTCCTTGGCAACAGAACAAGAACAGACAGTAAGTTGCAAGCAGCAAGTCACTTTAAATATTAGATAAAATATTAGATAAACATGGCCAACATAGTCCACAAAAAGCTACCTTTAAGTTCTGTCCATCGAAGGGAAGAGATCCACTCACGAGAGTATAAAGAATAACACCTAAACTCCAAACATCTACTTCAGGTCCATCATATTTCTTCCCTTGAAAGAGCTCTGGAGCAGCATATGGTGGGCTGCCACAAAAGGTGTCCAGTTTATTTCCAACTGTAAACTCATTGCTAAAACCAAAGTCAGCTATTTTAATGTTCATATCTGCATCTAGCAATAGATTTTCAGCCTGGAAGAGAAAGAATGGTTTGTAGATTAATAAAATACTTGATTTAAAATGCTGTTGGTTGCTTTCACTCTTTCTTAAAAGGCAAGAAGCTGAAATATCCATTAACATTCCTTTCCTTGCAAAGGTGTGCTTTAGTCAATCATTAGCATGTCCTGTTTTAAAAATTTCTGTACAATGGCTTCAGACTATGGGAGCTGTTTCACTGCCCAAGAACTTGTTACCATGTTTTTCTCCACAGAAATGTATCTTACATTTTGATCTATTCAGATGAAAATAAGATATAATCTCACTATCCATATACTTATTAGCATGGTATTCTTGCAGTAGTTTGGTAATAAAAATTATCTTTAAAGTGCTTTCAAGTGTTCTTTTTTTTTAATGGTGGTATTGGTTTTTGCTTTTTTTAAGTTACAAAGCTATGACAAGTTGAACAAATTATGTAGCAGTACTATTAATATAAAAGGCACAGTTAAAAGAAGAGATAGGCTGTTTCATGCCAAGCTACAAAGAAGCCATACTTCAGTTTCATTATCACTACTGGTAATTCATTCTGTTCAACATCAATTCTTGTCATATCTCTACCAAACTACCACTTTAAAAAAAAAAAAGATTTCTCAGCTAACACTGACCTGCATCAGATCTGAATGCGACCACTGGGGGAGAGGTTATCTTTCAGCAGCCATTAAATGTTTGCATTTAAAAGCTTTATAAATCCTCTTCCTTTTATTTAAACTGGTTCTAAGCTGCAAATATTTCTCAAGACTCACTATAACATATGTAAATAAATAAATAAATAAATCAGAAAGCTCAGTATAAACTGTATTTTATAAACAATAAAGGTCACACCCAGAGGTACAGAAGCTGACACACATACACTGCACACACTTTTTCCTACTCACCTTGAGATCTCTGTGAACAATATGCTTTTGATGGCAATACTGCACTGCAGATACTATCTGGATAGAAAACAAGCCAAATTATGTAAGTGACATCTCAAAGAAGCAGGAGCTTTAATTAAAGATTTCAACATTTATTACTGAAGTTGACATGAAGTTATCCACTCAGAGCTACATAACCAACTCCTACAGTGACCAGTATATTTGGGAAAAAGCTGCTGAATAACTTCTATGTTATTTGATCTATTTGCTTTCTCCTATACTTGAACCAGGATTTTGTTTTTCCTGTGGGGCTAATTATAGACCAGTAGAAGCAATGACTTTCAGAAAGGTTACTGAAGTATTTCCATTCCAATACTGTATACAGCTATAAAAGCTTTCCCCCTAGACTGAGGTTTTCCAGGCCCTCTCCAAAGGTGGTTTTTCATGCCATGCCAGAGAGAAAAGGATAAGAAATGGGCTTTGATTACTTGAGAAACTACTGGGAAACAGCCTGTTTGTCAAAATTTATGCAATGAGAAGCAACTAGGCATGTGACAGAGATCTGCTGTCTAAGTGCATATGGTTAAGTGTATTTTGTATACCACAGAAAGCTCAATGGAAAAACTCTCTTGTGTCTCTCAAGTGTAATGGAATAATTTCTTCCATGATAATTTCCAAATATCATAAAGATTTTCCTGCTTTATATAGCAAACCATATAAGCTATTTACACAGTGCAGTGTCACAGTACATTGCTTTTCAGAGTCATAAGCATTGCTGCAGAAATTCACATGTATGGAAAAGCTGGATAAAGTATTATTCTTACATGACCACAAATGCAGTCAAATGCATTTTGTCATGCATGCATGGTCAGAATTGAGGCAGATGTTATGACTTGTTAAAATAAGTGGAACTGCACATAAAAATAGTAACTACATTTAAATAAATATTTTTTCAGTCTTCATTCAAGAGTAAGAAGACTTCCCCAGCAGAAAGATGAGGTAGCATTACTGTTACAAGAAAATAACTCCTGATCTGATCACCAGTTTAGTGTAAGGATCCCTTGTACTGGTGAAGGAGCAAAGGTTCTCTCCCTCAGCATTTAGAGCACATGAAAGTTGTTGGGAGGTTCTTGGTAGGTCAAATAACTGATGCACCAGTAAGTTTTGTATTTGAAACTTAAGCACCAAAGTGATCTTTGTGCCCTGTAATATTGAATCACTCCCATGCAAAATGTCACCTTAGACACCAAGCAGACGGTGGAAAGCTGAAGCACTATTTCCATTCCCTACACCTTCATTCTGGTTTGGCTTTTTCCTTTATATGCTGGTTCCCTCTTTCAGACTCCAAGTTCAGCTTTTTCCAGTTACTGAAATTGCCAAAGTGCTCCCATGCCACCACTTGTCTCCTCCTTTTGGTTTCCCTTCCTTTTCTCTCTGCTACCATTACCTCAGCCCCAGTCACAAGCTCGCTCTGCAGGGGCTTCCAGTGCTGCCAGCATGACAAACACCTCAGGCTTTATTCAGGATTGCAGAGACACAGCACTACCACCACTCACTCACTCCTGAGCTGCTTTATTGTGCCTGCCTAAGAGCAGAAGGCTGAGCAGATGATCAATCAGCAGCTTCCTTTGGAGATGCTTTTGAACTCCTCTGCACTGCAACAGGATGGCACAGAGACTGCAGAAGTGAGCCCAATCCATGTGAAGTGAAATAATCAAATGTGTAGGACATTAATAATTGAAGAACATAACTGAATGAAAAATAGCACAAGGCATGGCTGCTTCAGACTGAAACCTTTGTCTTCCAGCTTCCATCACTGTTTCCATTGACAGCTCCCTCACTTCCTAACCTTCATGTGTGAGGAATTTTCTGACACTTGGCAGGTGAAGAGAAGGGGAGAAAAAGCATCTGAGCTTTTTGCTAGAAGTAACAATTGGAACACTGAAAAACTTTTCTAAAGAGTTAAAGATTTCAAAAATCTGTATAAATACAGGTTTTGAGGAAGTTCTCTCTAGGCAGAAGAACCATTCTCTAAAAGGATTAAATGACAAAAGGATGAATGACCTCTCAAGGCCCCTTCCACACTGCTAAGAGTATTCTGTTGCTTTACTAGAACACACCAATAAGATCTATTTTGTAGATTTTATAATTTTCTAAGATCTGTCCTAACATCTATCAGCATTAAGAATTCTAAACTGTTTCAGCAGGGAAACAGTGAGAACACTGAAAAAGGCCAGATCTCATAGCTTGCAAAAAAGACAGGGAATTAACACACACAAATTTAACAAGACTTGCTGCTCTGCATCAGATTTTTTTGTGGAAAAAGGATGAAACTGAACCAGAACTGCCTGGAAGAAGAATAAGGTGACATTAAGAATGCAAAACATTCTCAATTTGAATTTCTCACACATGGCTACACAAAAGGAGTTTGAAATGGAGAACTGTATAGCATAGTTGTATTCTTAGACTTTGTACCTTCTCCTGTGTTCCTTGTCAAGTGCAACTGAAATAATATGATTACTGTCTTTTATATTCTCTTTTCCTGCTAAAAACCTTACATATGTTTAACAAAATCGACTAAAACCCATTTTTTTAAATCTTAAACAAGCAAAGAAGGGAAAATTACTGAATCCTGCTCTTTGCCTGCTAGAGAGGAAGTGTCTCCTCAGACAAAACACAAGTGTTTGATCCAGAAATCACATCTACTGGAAGAAGAAACATGATCTGAAAACAAGATATAATACAATCTATTGTAAGAACTCAATACCATGGCACAACTGTTTCTTCAGTTTAGAAAGAGCTGCTGTCTGCTAAAACAGTTAAGAAATTAAAAAAAAAGACTATTATGTCACAAGTCTCTATCTAACAGAGAACAGCTGCACTGCATCAGATAAAAGGTCTGCAGAGTGCATTCTTCCTCCAACAATGACCAAAAGTGATACAAAGCTATTCCAGGACTACAGTAAGGTGAAATGAATAGTTTCATGACCTGTGAACCCAGCAAGATCTAATTTCCTTGTTTCCTTTGACACTGTCCCTCAGGCTGAGCTTTAGCATCTAATAAAATGCCAAGCTCTGATCAAAGTTACCTGACTTTCATCCAGCATGAATGCTTTTCTCTCTAGCTTAGCCCAATCAGCTTGTGCTACAGTTTCTCTCCTCTGCTTATTTCCAGGCTTCTCTCTTTTTTCCCAGGAACTGAGGCTTTTGAAGCTTTCAAGAACCTCCCTTCTTTGAGATCAAGGTCCTCTAAAACTGGTTGAGCTCAGCAGCCAGGAAATCAGCTGTTGGGGGAGGACAGAGCACAGCTGTCTGCACCAGGAGACTTACATGAAAAAACTGAAAAGTGTATTCCAGTGCATACAAGTGAGGCCATCTATATATCTTTATAAGCAGCATTTATTCTACTGAAATACAAAAAAAAACCCCAACAAACCAACTCAAAAAATCAGGCTGAGAGTACATAAACCCAATTCTTGATAGGTCAAACACTCAGCTCAGCAGGTAACTCCCTTGTAAATTCTTTTCCTCCACATTTCTTTTTAAAAATGAAGCTACATATATCCTGTACTACCCACATTATCCCATAAAATGAAGCACTAAGGGTACCTGTAAAACATGTTTGACCTGTTTCTGTATGTTTTTACTTAAAGGGGAGTAAAATTGTTAGGAAAAAAAGGTATTTATTGAAGAATTTTAATGTAATTACTGCAAGATCTTTTTCCACATAGTTCCTGATGAAAGAAATTGAGGACTGAGAGCAAAGAGTCTATCAGCAGAAGTTTCCAATATTCACATGTGAGAGAGAACAGTCAATCCTCTCAAGTTACTCTGAAGCTCTTCAAGTGACATTACAAAGGCAACAGGCAGGGCTTTAGAAGAGAGGGCTGAAGTGGGAATGGCTGTTTCACATCCCACCACTCCTACTGCCAACACAGCACAGAAGCACAAACCAGAAACCTTCAATCACAAAGAAAAACTCTCTACCTACCAAATATAAAAGTGAAGGCAGCAGATTTAAAAAGACACATGAGAGTGTTGAAGAGTGAGAAAAGTTTTCCTTACTGTCAAGCTGGATAACTCCAGTAATCACAAATGAAGAAGATGAAGATGGGGAGATGAAGTCTACAGCTGCTTTTGGGTTGTTTTGTTTGTTTGGTGGTGGTGGTTTTGGTGTGGGTTTTTTCCCCCAGAAGATTAAAAAGGGTAAATACAAGATTTATTAGGATGAGAGAAAACAAAGCAAAATCATTAATTTGGTTCCTGGAAGTCTCATATCTTACATCAAATTTCTATTATGCATGGCTATACTTAAGAAGTGAAACCATCAGAGCCTCCCCTTCCAAAAGGGCAACATCACTGCCCTGATCCAGCAGTTCCAAACCCCTACATACCATTCAAAAAACCACTCTCGTCCCTACTCATTATTTTCAAGTGTCATTAAGCTGGAGCATAATCTTGACATTTATTATTTGTCACAACATTACTGAGGCTATCCAAGTGACCAAAGGGAATAGGCATTTACAAATTTCAGCAGAGGAGCAGAAAAAAGGGTGTAAAACTGGTCAGATCTGAAACTCCAGATGCTACAAGAGCAGACATTTGGATTTGAATTAGTTATGTAAAAATATCTGGTTTTGTTCAGTACAGCTTGACTGTAGAATGGAAATGCTTTTTGCAGATCAATGAAATTCCAACACCTTGGCAGGGCTAGCTTATCCATCATAAAGAAAGCTAAACTAACAAGTCTAGACATTACTTTTCTGTCATTTTTTAGAACAGTAAATGTTCTAAAAAGATTAAACAGTATCTTCTCATGTAAGCAGATGAATGTGAATGGATTCCTACTACATGCACTGTCTGTAGTTTGAAACTGGCCTGTTAGTAGCCTGCTACATTTGAACAACTTCCAAAATGTTACAGACCTGCTGAGCTAAGGACATATGAAATCAGCCCAGAGGAAATGCATTTTGGAATGGAATACACTTCCAAACCAAGCAGTCTCTGTGTTCTGGCACTCTTGGACACCCTGGCACTCAGCACTAAGGAAACAGCACCACTGAACAGACTCTGACTCCTTCAAAGTACTGCTGTGACATAAGATTTTTCTAACTCAGAGCTACAAGCCCACAACATGCTGAACGCTGCTGTAAGTCAAATGCAAAGGACAGCTGTTTTACTCATTTCACCATTAAAAACAGGGGTGAGGGGAAAGCTGACATATAGGAATGTTACACATACCTGTCTAAATTTAGCTCTAGCCTCCTTTTCCTTCATTCTTCCATGTGCAACCAGATAGTCAAACACCTCCCCTACAATTCAATAACAAGATACATTAATGCCAATTTCAGAATGTAGAGATTCTTCTCCAGCAGTTGCCCACAGCAGCTTCACTGGAATTACTGTACTTCAAGTTTATGATTACAGGACAGCTCAAGAGAACAAGGCACAACTGCTGTGCAATTTACTACACCATCATCTCTTTTACAAGAAAATAATGAGTGACTGGATATACACAAAGGAAACCATTTCCTTCCAATTACTTAGGATAGAAACTGAGCAGCATACTTCTGTTTTGTAAACAAAGATGACATCTACCCCTTCACAGACTTTCTCACCAGAGTTTCTTTTGCTTCAGAAAGCAAAAGTTTCATATATGAGAACAATTAATGATATTTGTAAATGTAAATGTAAAAAATACCAACGCTAGAATTTTAATTTGTGCATGTGTATAAAATGGTTCTAAACAAAATCAAAACCTTAGCTTTAACCTAGGCTTGGAAAAGGTACCCACAAGGAAGGTCAAGAATGAGCACAGCAGGACACACTGATAAATCCTTCACACAACCATCATACCTGTGAAACACACAGAACAAGGCCACTGTTCTACAGCTGTGGATGACCAAAGATTACTAAAGATCTACTGTTTTTCAGCTTTTCCCCTCTTTAATCAATGCAGTCATTTTAGAGCACATCAATACAGACTACAATGTCTGAGCTTTAGGTGCAGGCCACTGGCCCATGAAACACTGACATGTTTGTGAAAGCATGGGAGATTTTCTCTACTAAAAACCAACAGTCACGTACATAAGAACTACAAACACAGAATAATAGCACAGTTTTTGAAAGTCCTCACTAGTATGCAAAAACCATAAAATCAGAAGTGGTTCAAATATTTAAACATTCCCTACTGAGCAAGGAAACATGGTTTTGTAGACAGCCACCTCACAAGGGAAGAGCTGAGTAATATATTTATTTTTTTAAAAGACACAACTCCACCAGATTGCAATAAAAAAAAAAGGAGTCACACTGCAGGAAAAGCAACCACTGAGCCATCTGAGGGAATGTCAGGACATCCATAAAATAGTCTTCCCTCTGCAGTGCATTCTGTAATCCTCAACTCAGGTAACTCTCCCAGCTGTATTTCACAGCTGTTTCTTAAAAAACCTTGAAGCAGCAAACCTGAACACTTCTTCATAAATCAGGGAAAAAGACACCAGGGAAAGAACTATCCCCAATTTATGTGAAGTGTTGCAGCTGTAGCAATAATGTCTTTCATCCTGCAGCCAGAGTTCATGTGCAACATGATGACCTCTACCTTGACAAAGAGCAAACAGGGAAGCTGATGCCTGCCACTGTGCTTGCCAGCCATTCCTGTCTTGCACAGCATGGCACATCAACAGGTACAGCTCTTGGCCTTTTAGACCAGTACAGTACTTACCTCTCCCTGATCATCCCAGGAACGGTCCTCACTCCTTCAGAGAACCACTGGCCTTTCTACCTCCTAGAAGCCAATCACTAGATGGCAATAAGACTTCACTTTTAAGTCTAGTACTATCAAACAACACAGAGATGTCTCTCCAAACACCTGTACTAGTCAATATTTTAATGGGATAATGCCCACTCTGTTCCTGTTTGAGCAAACCTTGGCTGAGCATTCAGGAAGCTGCTGGAAGAAAAGACAGGTGGGTAGAGAATCTTGCTTTAGTGTAGCAATTCATTCAACTTCACATAATCTAATGTAACAGTCTGAATTCAACACTGATTTTCTCTGAAAAAAGTCTATCTCCTTCCTGCCCCTAAAGAAAAGCCCCAACTGTTTGAGATTCCCACATGCTGGTGCTCCAGGGTCACACTGACAAGCTGAGTGATATTAAGTTCTAGCCAGCAAGGAGTAACTTAAGCCTGAATACCTTAATTCTGGCTCTGGTGAAAATATCTGACACTGCACAAAGTGCATTTTTCCATCCCCTGTAGAATCAGGAAGAGCATTTAAGCTCCTTCTAAAATGGCATAAGGCTAAGCCTAACAATTCATGACAGTAGAAGGCCTGTGATTAAGATATGTAAGATGTCATCAACATCTAAAAACAGAAGTTGCAGCGCTCATGCTTTTGAAAGCAACAATTAAAGAAACACAGAAATGTTTCATCTGAACATGATTTCACCAAATATCTTATACAAAATAGGACACCAGAGGCAGGGAACTGAATACAGTAAATTGAGAACATTAGTATTTGTTATGGGCAGGAACAATCAGTGGCTGAGAAAAGATTCCCAGTTAATTTGAGTTATGAAAAAAAAGCAAATGTTACTAAGTTGTAGTGAATTTAGAAGCTGGTTTTACAGGTTACATGAATTATTTATGTTGACAAAACAAGTCCCAGTGAATATTAAAGATTTTGCTTAATATTTTACACTACCTTGACATAAATATTTGCTGAAAAAGAAAGCAAAACTTTCAAGAAAACAAGTGCTTTCTCTCACTTGGCAATCTGCTCAGTGTGTCACTGCAGAAAAGAGGTACTTACCCCCACTTGCATATTCCATTATTAAATAGAGAGTTTTTTCAGTTTCAATGACTTCAAATAGCTTCACTGGAAAAGAAAGACATTTAGTCATCAGTTAACTAGCTGCAGAAGCATTATGTTAACACCCCACAGAATTCTGTGAGAGAAAAATGCCCAAACTGTTTGCCTGCCACTTGATAATATCAGACTATTTACTCTAAAGAAGCTTTCTGTCCAATGCTCCCAAGTAGAAAATACTATAACACATTTGGTCAACTCATACAGAACAACATATTCTCAAGAACCAATACTTTGCTTCTTTTACATGGGAACATAACTAAACCAAGCAGAACATGCACAGATTTGAGCATCAGCAATAGCCACACATGTGCACTGAACTGACACATGTGGTGACAAATCAGTTACCAGCCTGCTGACAGTCCCATAGGAGTACCACATCATTTAAATGTACAAACTTGAAAAAATTCTTGACCACTTCTTGGTTTTGGTGTATATGTTAATTTTTAATGAGAACCTGAGTTCAGTCAAAGATCAATACTATATTCAAAAGGAGAAAATTTATCAGTTAGCTATGCAAATAACAGTTCTGTGCAATGGGATCACAATGTTTATTTTATTTTTTTAAACACACAGTTCTGAAATACCAGTTATTACTGCTATCTTAGAGTAAATTCACACTCCAGTGCAAAATAATCTTTTAAACTCATGCCACAGCAATCTTAACAGTGAAAAAGCTAAAATTTCTCCAGAGATGGAAATAATGTGAAAGAAACAAGATACCTATATTTGGATGATTTAAGATCTTCATTATTCTTACTTCTCTAAAGAGCTGAAATAAACATAAAACGTGAAATAAGTTAATGAAATCACTAACAAACAGCCATTCTCCTTAAAGACTGAAGACTTTGATATAGTCATTTAAACAGAAAGAGCAAACATTATTAAACATTATCAATGTAGTTCATGAAATAAGCACTTTTTGAAAGGAAGAGTTAAATGCCTGCTTAACACCCCTCCCAAGCAAATCAACACTCAAAAACCTGCAAACACCCAAGAAGAACTCTAGACAGCTCAGGAAAGAAGTGACCTTAGCCCTGTGGTTTGCAGATTTTTGGGGTCAGAAGAGCACTGTGAGCCCATGCAGCTTCCTGCTGACCAGCACATCTCACACATCTTTCATTCCCTTCACAAAAAGCACAGCTCCAAATTCTTGTGAATCCCCACCAGAACACCTTCAGAAGACCATTGCAGTATGAATTCAGCATTCTTCAGAACTTTGTTAAAGCCCAAGAGCTACTGTGCTACAACAGCAGCTCACAGGTGAAAAATCAGCTGTTTATATTGTGCAAAAACCATGGTATCCACCTACACCAGCAAGGAGCAAGTTCTAAGGAGAGAAGGGAAGACAAGGCCACCCCTGAGCCCTTCAGAAGCATTGCTGCAAGGCAACTGAGGCACAGCTCCCCTGACTCACCCCCAGGCACAGCCTGGTCAGTGCAGCACCCTGCATGTACTGGCCTAAGTTAACAGGGCAGAACACAAATGGTGCTTTCCTCACCCCATCTGTGCTTCCCTTCCTGCAAGCACTGCTGTTAACCCTGACTGACACACAAGGTACAGGAATTATTTAACAAAATATCTCACAAAACACACAATTTCCCATATAAAATCACTCCATCTCTAGCTCACCCCAGCAGGATGGTGGTGAGGGACAACTGCCCATTTCAAGCTGCAGGATGACATTATATCCCCTGCCCTAAATCCAGAGATTGTAAGGATACTGTCATGTTTCATGTCCTGTGTGTCCCTCCCCCACTGCCAATACTTGTGTGAAGAGGGCTGTAATTGAGTAACTATTTCTGAAGATTTCAACTTTGCCTGTCACACAGAGCAAACTCTGTCCTTCTGCAACTTAATGAAAATATGGAGTGACATTTAACAAACTAGAAATGAAAGCAAAGTCATGACTGAACAGTTGTAAATTATTTTCACCTCTCTTCTGCAAAAGACTATTGTAAGATAACACAAATTCATAACCATAATACTAAAAATGCCACAGGTGGTGTTTCTGCACTATAAAACATTGCTTTGAACAAAGCTGGTAAATAGCAGATTAATGAAAAGCAGTTCCAAGATAAAATATTATTACAAAAAAAAACCGTGAAGCATAAATACTCTTGTATTCAGAAAAGCAAAGAATTCTCTTTTTATGCACAACACTACATGGCAGCCAGGTGTGCAGCTGTTCTCCCTCTGCAGCTCACCCATGCCAGCCCAAGACTCCAGAGGGCTGATGTTCTTCAGTGTCAATTATTCTCTAACAGCATGCTTCAAAAAGTGGGAGTAATCAAGAGGTTTTATTAGATACCTAACACAAATTTCTACTGGAATATCAATAACCTAACATCATACTGAACTTCGTGTAGAGACACTGAAGCAGAATAGAAGTCCACAGCTCCAAGCAAATGCAGACATAGGAAAAAACCCAAGAGTTTTGTAAATACAGGATAGGGATAACAGCATAGTTAATTACAGTAAGGAAAAAAAAAAAAGTGGTGCTGGAAGATTTGGCTCAGGTCAGATGTCAGATAAAGTGAAGAAATTTGGTATGCCTACACCTATTAGTAACAACTCAAAAACTTGTAAGTGTATTTACTCAGTAATACCAAAGAAAAGGTGATACTTTGTAATAAAAAAAAGGTGAAACATTAGAAATAAACAGAAAACAACCAAATAGTCAACAAAACAAAATCCTTGTGCCTTTGTGATTATTAATAAAAGAAAATGCAAGGGGTGGGTTTTCAATAAACCTATAGGACAAATTCACAATTTGGAGGGCAGCTGTTCAAACCATTCTCTGCTTTCTGATATTTCAGAATCACAGAATTTCTGCAAATGCCAACATCTGGGGAGCAATCCTCACTGCACTGCCCTGGAGACCTCCCTGCTACAGCACCAGCTGGGACTGGCACACGACCTGAACAGAGAAAAACCAAACAATTTTCCAAATGCTTTTGATTATCTTGTTACCCAGGTCTGTGCCTGGGTAGATGACTTTGCTAGATGACAAGCTGCTCAAGTGAAATCATGATTGATTGATCAGGTAAATTATTGGCCATGCAAAATAGTTTCAAAACCTCTGTGCACACGTTTTCTTTATCCTCTAGAGAGGTAAAATTGCCTTCTTTTCTTTTTTAAACTATGTTATTTCTGGAGCTTTTTCATATGTAATCAGACAGGGTAGAATACATCAGACTCTCTCTTGATCATCAGGAATTTAAAAGCAGCTGAATCTATAGCTATTTTTTTCTTGCTTTTCATTCATTTCAGCTAAACTGGTGTATAATATATTCTGAATACTCCATTAATACTTTTAATCACAGCTTATATAACGGAAAGGCTCTTATCAGTTTTTACAATTTCAAAGAGAGTTGGATTAATTCACTCTCAATTGGTATCTGAAATCTTCCACCCCCAATACCCAGATAAAGCCTACTGGGTCAGACCTTCACCAAAACACTGGTCCACAAAATGACTACCCTGCTTTACTAACCCAAATGAAGCATGTCAAAAAGCAGCTTCTACTTCATGAGCCATTTGTTCAAGTGGGTGACTAGGAACAAGCTCTTTTAAAAAACAGACTATTTCTGCCTCAGAGGAAATTAAAAATAAAAATACTTGAGAATAGGATACAACCACCACCAAACTGTAATTTTAGTTAGATAAATGCACTTTAGATCATGCACCCTTAGTCAGTTTATCTGTTATACGTCATATTTTGACAAAGATGGGGATATCTGGCGAAATAGATATATTTTCTATAAATTCCTGACATTGTAATATGTATTATAGTCTATTTCTGATAGAGGAATAAAATGTACACGTCATACAACTTTCCAAAAGTATGCTGGATAAAGGTTTTACAGATTTTGTTATGTGCATCAGCTTCTGGGAGATGACCTAGTAACTATCATCACACAATAAAATTCATTGCAAACAGCCAGGTATGATAAAACCTCACACCTCTGAGGTTCCCTGCCCACAGGAACACAGAACAAGGTGTAATATCAGAAAATGTAACACGAGGGTTCTCAATACAGAAACTTATTTTCTTAGTATTAGGAAATTACTTGTCATAATGAAACCATAAAGGCACACAAACAACTGAAAACAGTTCTCATCAGTTTAATTTCTAATACTGAGATCCAAAACTACTCCCAGCTTGTTGAACAGCTCATTTTCCGTCAACAGGAGCTCTACAAACGTTTCCAGGCAAAGACAAACATCCTTAGTCTGCCAAACAAATGGCTTTCAGCTTTGTTGTGGTCTGGTCCTTTGAGTGCAAGCCATGTCAGATACAGGAAAAGAATGCCATTTAATTAATGCTGTGAGCTAAAAAACTGAATAAAAAAACCCCAACGAACCAGTGATGGAAGCTGGTTCTTTTAGGTTAACTCTCTTTGAACACAGCAAAAGACAGACTAGAAGTGCTCCCACAGTAGTTATCACAAGACTGTGACAAATTATTTTAAAAATACTGAAAAAGTTTGCTAAAAAGTGAGTCAGTGCCAGCTGCAGAGCACCAACCCCTCCTGGTCACCTTGTCCCTTAAAGGAGGAGGCTTTTCACAGGATGCTGTCCCAAGCCAGCTCAAGCCTGACCTGTGTATGAGGCTTCTCCTGGTAACTGCTCACTGAAATATGCCCTACATCTAATAAAGAACCTCAAGCAAAAAGCCTTTACACAATACAAGTTTGCCTCAAACTAAGCACAACTTGGAAACAGAAAGGGATACACATTACAAACAGAAGAGCCTGAGCATTTAAAATTCTCATACTTTTCTTGAAGTTCTTAAAACACTGATTGACCCATGGTCAGAAAGGACATGAACCATGTTAAAATTGATGTTTAAGAACACTTAAATGCTTTAACAATAAGTATTGCCCAAGTAAGTGGCAAAACATCTGCACATAATGAACAAAAATATTTGGCTGAGGAGCCAAGTTCTAAAACAGGAAAATGAGAAATGATTTAGTGCTATTACATGGGCTTACTAAAAAAAAACCCTTGCATATAATAGCATTGGTAAATCAAAGGAAAAAAAAAACCCAAACTGTTTTATTTTTTGTCTAGGAGGAAGTGAACTCTGTAGCATCAGCACTTGTTTGCAGTGAGACCAAGATCCACTGGAATTGCACACACAAGTCCATTTGTGGAGAACAGTGATTATGACTAACACTGCCAGCATGGGAAAAAACCTCTAAGAATTCCCTTTTCTTTCAAAGCAGGGAAGTACCAGTTACAGCTTCCTCTTCACCAAGCAAGAGCAGCAGAGCAGTAATTAGGTCCTAAAACAACAGTAAGGAGTAGCTGCATGTGGCTGCCACAGAACTTCCTCAGCAGCAGAGCAGAAACCCGACCCTTCAGAGCTGTGCTGCTGAGTGTCAGCACAGAGCTGTCAGGGAGGGCATACCAAGAATTACTGCTCCGGAAAGCAAAGCCTGTCCCTAACAAGGTTAACTTCTTCCTGGCAGCTGAAGTATCGATGTGCAAGATGGAACACAAAGAAACCAGAACTGGCGGCCTTTAATCACCATTTGTTTCCCCACCTAAGGATGACTCGGGCATGCAGCTACACCGCAGCTGAGACGCTGTACACCACACCCTCTTCTGGGCACAGCCCTTCCCTCCCCACCATACCTCAAATATTTTATCTCTCTCTGCAGAAGTGCAAGATCAGAAGCACTTCCATCTGAGCTTCCCCCGCATGCACAGGTCCTGTGTGCAGCTGGCTCCAAAGGCACCGGGGCTGCGGCGCTGGGGGAAGGGGCAAAGGCTTGCAACGTGAACAGCCTTGGTCAGGCAAAGCTGGCAAGTTGGATGTTGGGCATTCACCCTGCTTCCTATGGCAAGCAGGAATTTAATTTGAATACAGATGCTTTCAGTTTTTGAATTAAAAACTGATACGCCGTACTAAATTCTTTTTGTGCTCATATAACAAATGAGCTTAGAGATGAGAGCACATTTGCAATTTCACTCCATAAATTTGATCTGATATCTGCCCTGCTATTTGGTACTATTCTTCCAGATTCCCAGGTAAGAAATCCAGTGGTACACAAGATCACACTACAAATCACACTTCATAATCTAATTTTATAAATTGTAAATAAAAATTAAATTACAACAGAGATGGAGCCGTGAGTGGACACTGAGCCAGCTGAAACCCAGTAATCAAAGGCCCATCATGCACACTTCCAGCTTGTAGCTTTTCCAACTGAACACTTGTGACTTGTAAAAGGTTTGTATTGTATCCCCATATGAGCTCAAACTGGCATTAGAGCCCAATCTCAAGTCACACCATCTGAAGGACTATGATTTTACATTTTTAACTGAAAACATGGCACCTTTACTTCTCTCTGACCATTCTTCCCATGCTCTGATATTTCCCATTTTTATCACACAGCTTTTGTTTCAAGTGCTTCAAGCATTCAACCATTTTTATTTAGGCATTTCAAGTTGCAATCTGCCACAGAAATCAACTTTATCTGATCCACCATATTACCTAATTTGCACTTTATTTTCACCCTGCTTATCCAGAAACCACCAGTAATCTCAGGGACTAAACTGAGAAAAATTCTGAGAAAAATGGAACCAGATTATCAACTTTTACCCTGTCTACAGAGTCATACAAAGCTGCCACCTGCTCAGCTGATGGAGCCTTTCTTCTACAGGTTATTCTTTGCCTCTCAATGAAACCATAAAATGTAAGAACTTGTGTGTTTTTCCAATTTACTTTTGCACCATTAATCTTGATAAAAAGTCTAGTCAAGTGATCTTTTTAGTATTTGCATAAAATACAAATGTGTATATTCTCCAGTTTACTCTAGTTATCCTCTTTCATTTTGTTTGCAGGTTAATTCTGCATATTCTCTTGTTCAAACAGAAATATTTCAAGGGTTTTTTTATCAAAGTACTCAAAAGTAAACAAAAAGCCTTTGACTGCAGAACTTAAAAGGACAGAGTTAGAGAAGTCCCAAGTAAAAGTAACATTTAAATGTACTTCCTGCACGGATTCCCAAACAGACTGGGTTGCCTAATGAAAGAGCAGGGTTTATCACTCTGTACTAAAAAGATAAGGTGATACAACTCTAACAGCACATTAAACATTCAGAGCTAGAGGGAAGAAACCAGAATAGACATGGCCCAATTTGTTTCATACAACTGCATCACCTCTCCTGCTGCAAGCTACATGAAAGGCACAGACACTGCCTGGCCTTCAGTCCACAGGCAGTATTTCCAAGGCCAGTTTTAGAGGACAGAACATAAGTTTTGCATTTCTAAGTTTAACAAAGCAACCGTCACAAAGGAGACATGGGGGCATGACACCAAACCACAGGTCCTCTCTACAGAGTCAGCTCTGCTTGGAAGACAAAGGAAGTGGCAAATACCACTGTTTTCTCAGTTTACAGCTCCACATGAGTTCAGCTTGAACAACTGCAGGGCTGTCAGAAATATCTGTTACAAAACCAGTTATTAAATACAGTAGTCAGATGTGTGCAAAGGTATGCAATGCTTCAGATTCTCCAGCACAGGCATTCAGGGTTAATGGAAGGAGGTGGGGAAGCAAACAAGTCATAATAGAGTTGAAAGATTAAATGTAAAAACATACCTTTTGTAGACTAGTTGGGTTCAGCTGTGTTTTGTCAATTATTTTAATGGCAACCTAAAGAAAGAGTTCATGATCAGTGTTTTCCATAGGAACAATACCACATTATTACAACATGCTCAAATCCAGTAACAGACATGGAAAACATGAAAATTACACAAAAAACGCTTAAGGTCCTTCTGCAAATTATACACTTGTATTTAAACTAGAAGCAGGAATGCAAAAACCCTGGCATTTTAAGGATATTAAGATGAGAAGCTTGCTGAGTCTTTGACTTGACATTAAGACCATCACAGTCATGACAGTGGAAGCTCCAGCAGCAGACAGTGCCCCGATAGAGAGCAGTGTGCCTACAGATAATATTTACACAGCATAATTACACAACAGATTATACTCTAGTGACTGGGCACTGGCAGTTTCTAAAAGCAGAGATTTCTGAGCATATTGAAAGCATTTCCACACAAATTTGGCAAGAAGTAAGTTCATCTTTGGAAATTCACTAAATATTTGTGTCAATTTGTTCCCTGATGGGTATTAAAAAAAGTATCACTTGGAAATCAACAAAAATACATTGGCTGTAGTACAACACTTTGGGTAAGTACATTCCTTGTTCTCCTCTTTTCAGTAAATGTTGCACAGAAATATTAAAGAACATAATAAAAAATTCACACAATAAGCAGAAGAGAATTCCATACCATGCTAACTAGTCAAAACCTGAAGATTTGAAGCAATAAATAGGCAACAGAAACTTCAGTGCAATGCAGTTTGCATACTGGATGAGGTTGAACAAGAAATGAGAATCTTTCTAGAATTACACGTCAATTGATATTTTTTCTTTCTAAATTAGAGACTAAACATACCAGAAGAAGCTCTACAGAAGGAGATGGTGCCTCTCAAAGAGGCAAGATGCTGCAACTCAGCTGATTATAATACCTCACTGGTGCAAAGCAAAGGCTTTCAACTCCACTTCAATTTTTGGCTCAAACAGTAGATGCTGCTCCTTCCCATGCCACAGCTCCCATTTCCCTGCATCACTTGGAGCTATCTTTGTCACCTCATTAACTTGGGGTTGGTGACATATGGAATAAAGAATATCTTACATCAAAGCCAATTTATATCCCTACATTCAAGTGCAAAAACACAGGGATGGATTGTCACGATGGAGAGGGTAAGAGGGGAACAGTGTTGGATGCTTGGGTGCATCACAGAGTTATATAATGGACATGGTGTTTTCTGAAACTGATATTCAAGACTTATTTTGAGCTCTTCTAGCTGCAAGATACGATGAGACATGACTGAGAAGCCATCTAAGAATGTTTTTACTCTGGGAGTGTTTTCTTCTAAGGCAAGCTACTGAAATTATAGATCACTGTTTCCCGAGGCAAAATTCCATTGCAAAACCTTGAGAAATCACTTCAAAAATACAAACAAGAGAGAAAGGCATTAAGCAATTGGTATTTTTATATTAGCAGCTGTGTACAAAACCAAGAAAGATTTTTATCTCTACCTTTAAGCCTGCTGTTAACGTTGTGACAATAGTTGAAAGTTACTCACTTCCTGCAATCTCTTATAATTCTGGATTATACTGCTGGACTCTTCTAATGCTGGATGTAGTGAGCACTGCCTTTGTCAACAGCAGATAATGTTATTTGAAAGTGACCTGGTGCCCCAAGACTACCCACAGCTGTTCACTTAGTAAGCACATTCCACTCAGAAAAGTTTGCATTTTTGTTCTTGGCTGTACCATTTTGGTGAATCTTTACAAGATGTAAACTTTTTTTTAACCCACCAAGCCTTAAGGTGCCGTGTTACTGCAAAACCAGCTCACCTCAGCTCTGACACTGTCAAACAAATTCAGCCCTGGAGATACAGGGAAGGTAGAGACCTCAGTTTTCCAGAACACAGACTCTCAGGCCTGTTCAGTGCACTAATTATAGCCTTAAAGGCAGGGTGAATTCAGAGAATTCCTATCCATATGAACACTGAGAGTACAATGTGTTAACATGGGCTGTGAGAGCTTGAACCCATCATCAGAACAGGGAACAACTTCAGGTGCCTTGATAAGGTCTCCAAATCACAGGCAAAGGCAGCTTGCCCTCAAGAGCAGTTCTGACCAAGTTAAATGGAGACTTTTCTAAGTACAGTTAATAAAACATTAAATTGTCTTTTAAAGCAGAAACTTTGCTCTCTTTATGTAAAGTGCATTTGGAATGGTTTCATGCACTGTGAGCTAGGGCCAGTGCTGAAAAATGCAAGTCCATCTACACTATTACACCACTGCCATGATATTCTGTGTGAAATTGTTAAGAGAATTAAAACTGAGTTTGCTTCCACCATTCACAACAATGTGACTTAAAACATTCCTCCTACATGATTTGAATAAGGGAGTGAAAGAAATCAGAAGTTGGGACACTGACCAAATTGGCCAAACTGCTACTATTCAGAATGCTTTCTCCCTCTTAAATTTCACTTTTTCCAAGAGAAGAACAGAAAGAAGATGACAATAGATTCCTTGGAGTCAGACTTGGGTTCTGAAAGAATTCAGCCTCACTGGGAAACTTCAGCTCCCTGTTTATTAACTGAACATGTCTTTAAAGAACAGAAGGGTCCAGAATAATTTTGGCCACCTCAGTAACAGCAGAAGGTAGCTTTATCTTTTAGATTCATTTTGGCAAGAATGGAAAACTTGTCAGAGGAAACACCTTTTGATAAAACTACAACAGCAAATACATGGATTGCAGTCAAAGAATTGAGAAAAGCAGATTGACAATGAAGACTTGTGGTTTCAAAAGGGCAGACAGCCTACAAATAACACTCTCCTAGGCAGAGGACCAAGAAGGATGGTGTGTCCAAACACCAGCCCTAATGCAGGGAAGCTGATCTTTGGCCACACACTCCTTGCAAGACAATTCAACCCCCCAAATTAGGATGATGTTCTGATCATCCCCTGAAGGGCTGAACATTTCTTCCTTTCAGTAATTTGAAGATGGGCACTCATCATGCATCCTGCAGACACACTAAAAATGGAAATTAAAAAGAGTCCTAGAACTTATTCTAGTTGGAAACATGAAATCTTCATCTCAAGCAACAGGAAAACTCCCAGGGAAGGACTCCAGATGCAAGGAGATGAGCAACTAGCCTAAAAGAATGCTTAAACAAACATCTCCTCCTCCCAGGAAGGGACAGAAAAGTGCTGATCTGCTTCAGGATTTGGAAGCTACTCAGCACAGAGATATAAAGAAGGAATTTGCCAAAAAGTGAACCTGACATGGTCACTTAAAAGGACATTCAGAACAGAGACACAGTTAACAAGGAAAAGATAAGTGGGGTTCAAATACAGCAAGAACACAGCAGAGATGAAAACTCATTTCAGTGTAACTCCCCAAACTAAGCATTTAGTTTAGGTTTTGGTACATAAGATGGAAAAAAGAACAGGAACAAAGAAAGGACAGGCTGCAGGAGAAAGACTGTAAAGCAGGAAATCACAAATTCAGAAAGCTAAGTGCCATCTGGCTGAGGCCAGGCTGAGAATATGACCCTGGAATTCTTACAAGAAGCAGATTTTCAAAGGAGAAAGAAAAAAAAGCCTTCTTGCAGCACAGGTTCCTAGCATCTACCAGGAACAGAAGAGCAGAGCTGGGTTTAGAAATGAGCAGACAATTTTTTTTTTCCAATTCATCATAAAATTCCTGAACTCAAAACTGGCAGGGAAAAACCAAGGAAAGAGAAGGTTTAAATGCAACATATTTTCCTACAGTTAACTGTACCCTATGGAAACACACAAGATAGAACTACCTGGACTAATGAAAAGCCTCATCTAAGAGGCTGCATGGAAATTTTTCAACTAGATAAGCTGAAAAGTGCACAGAGTTGTTTTTATTTTTTCCTAAAAAAAAGAGGCTAAAGAGATATTAAGTTGGAAATAAATGAGTAAGAGTTTTTCAAGGACAAGATTTTGGGACCAATCTTGTTTAATATCTGTATCAGTGGCCTTGGCAGAGGATGTCAAAGCATAATGATTAAATCTGTTGAAGGAGTTAAGAGGCACCATCAAACACAATGGAAAACCAATTTAAACAGCCTTGGAGATGAGTTAGCAATGAAACTGAGATTCAACATACAAGGTTGGTGCTGTTGCTGATCACAAGCAAAACATATCAATTTAACAGCCATGAGAAAGCCTAGCACAATCTGAAGATTGATCAGATAAATACATATAAAAAGTAAGGGCAAGGGTGAAGCAATGACATTGGGGAAATTGCTATCCAGCATATTGGAAACAATTCTGGTCACAGGCACCAAAAATTATCAACATTGTACAGTTTATCTAGCAAGAAGAGAAATTTTACTCTTCTCCCTCTAAAAAAAAAAGTTTGAAATATCTTGAAGAAATTCCTATAAAATTAGCTTAATTGTTCCCTTCTAAGGAATGACACTCATTCCAATGGCCACAACCCAGAAAGTATTTATGCTCTGAATTGATTGAGCTACATCAATTCCATGTGAGTGGAAGAAACTTAGTACTCAAATCTTTCCATATTTAGCCAAAAATTTTACACTGTCCCCTTTATTTGTTGAAATTTCAAACAAAAATAATGAACCAGAGGTCAACACAGTTATCTGCAAGTAAAAAAATACATACTTCACTTTTTGCAAAGTGTGGCACATATCTACCTCCAAGTTCTATAGCTACAATAAGAGCAAAGAAATACTAAACAAGTACTTGCATATCCCATCTTAAGTATCAGTAAAAAGAGGAGGGAACTTAAGTGGAAAGGAATTAATCAAAAACCTTCTCTACAAATGAGAACTAACTTTAACATCAGAAGACAATGGGAACTGTCAGCCAAAAAAATTAAAATCTATCTCAATAGCTCTTGCAAAACGATGTCCCCTCTCTTCTTCCCTCTGTTCCTGCTACTGAACCCTGTATTAGCTCAGAAAAGAGAAATTCCATTAAAGCACTGCAGTCAGCAACACAGCTTCTGTAAAAGTCCTTGCTGGTATCAGCAAACATTCACTTCATCAGACAGGTTTGGCAAGAAAAGGTTAGCAAGGTGCTTCTCCCTCTTCCAGTACTTCAGAGTTGCTTTTAATAAAACAGCACCAAGAAACACCTTCTTGTAACAAGCAGACAGGACTATAGCTCACCAAATCAGAACCACCATGAAGTGATTAATTACACTGCAATACCATGCAGAAACTAAATATGGAGCTGAGTTTGACTCAAAGAAGAGATGCAAAAGAAAGTTTGTCTATACTGCACACATTGAGCAAACTGTCACTGACACAAGACTATCCCTGAACAAACTGAAGCATCCTCCCAAGGCCACCCAGCACTGCAGACACCCTGGGATGATCCACCCTAGGATTCCTGGGAGATACATGGCTCTGGCAAGAAAATACTGCATTTGGGCTACTTGGAACATAATTAAGACAACATTTAGTTCTCATGCCCAACTTTGCCTCCAATACAGCCCTACAGTATAGAGACACTAAGAGGCAGTCCTTCCAACAAGCTTATTTAATTGCTGTATATTGATCTGGTTTTTGAAAATGGAGGATTTATCCAAGAATATTAGTAGCAAATTTGAACATAATTCAGCTGGACAGAGACTCACCAAATATACAAGTTTAAGAAACCATTTCTAAGAGAAATTGTTTTGTAATAGTTTCTAAAAAAATAGTTTTCAATTTCTGTTTTTTTCTACATCAGTGGCAATATCTCTAGTAAAATGTGCTCTATGTTCACCAACTTAGATGATGCTATTCCAAGAGAACCTTCACACCTACAGCAACTCACTGCTGTTTACACCCATACCACGTTACCTCTCTGCCAGTTAGGATGTGCCTTGCCAGCTTCACTTTTGCAAAATTCCCCTTTCCAATGGTTTTAAGGAGTCTGTAATTTCCAATATGTGGCTGCTCATCAGCACAGGAGGCTATGGAGTTCCTGCAGCGAGCTCCAGAGCGCCCAGTTCGAGAGGAAACTTCCTGCCGTCCGTCTCCATGGGACGTGTGCTGCAACAAAAACACACACGTGGTAAGGCTGAGGAACACAGACAAAACACATCAATGAGGAGAAGCAGACAGCATTCATAAACATCAGCAATGCCTTTGAAGAAATCTTCAAAGGATCCAACTGAAACTTCACACTCACACTGAACTTTGTTCTGATGGGGGCAATAAAGTGGTGCCCAGTTCATGACACAATATTCACCTCATCACCTGGTCAAGACAGTGGAATATCACCTGCACTGCAACAGCTGAGCCTTTCTAAGTAACTTACATGGACTGCCAGATCAGGCACAAAATATAGAGGTGTTTAATGTTATTTCCCATTTGCATAACTAGTGCAGGAAAACTTTTGGAAAGGAAACACAAATACAGATTTTCCAAGATCACAAATTGTTAACCCTTATTGGACAACTTATACTAATAAAAAAAGGGTTCTTTCTTTCCTGTGGTACTAACTTGTGTTCCTACAGATCCATATGACTGCAAACACCCAGGATGATCTGGAGAACAAGGAAAGAAATCTTACCTAATCTACTGAAACCTTGAATATTGATAAGCTGAAAGCCAGTTACAGAGATCTGAGACACTGTCTGCAATCTTTCAAGTTCCTTTCACTCTCATTTCCCTGAATAGCTACTGATTGCAAAAAGGAATGGTTATATATTATCTATAACAGTCTTTACTCATTAGATTACATGGTTAAGATTTAAGTATTTTTTCACTTCCTGATAGCCTGTTTATGAAAGAGCAGGTGCCCTCTTACATTCTTAACTCATGGTTGAGGTCCATACACCAACCACACTCATTAAAGTATTAGTTAGAAATGTTTAGGGGCCTCCAAAGGTGGAACAAATATCTGACTCCACCAAAGATGACACATTAAATTCACAGTCATCACAGAAACCCCAGATCTTGCTCTTCTACTACTCCTCCTCTTGCCCCAAACCCATTTGGGACAACCAAGAAACTGGCATAGAGCAACATTCAGTCTGCAAATCACTGTAGTGTGAGGATGAGATCATACCTCAAGAGCTAACAACCATAGTACAGGCACAAATGAACAAATCCATGCTTGCATGACACTTGGCAAGTTTCACTTGCCTGATGTAACCTTGTGACCATACACTCTCACATCTTGGGCTCCTTGATTTGTTAATTTGAGTGCAACAGTTGTGATCAAATTATTGTTAAAAACACTTTCTTTTAAGAAATGCTACTGATAGGAGTCTATGGCAACTCCTGGGAAATTGTTTCAATAGTTCTATTTTAAAAAACACACAATGTTTTAGTATCAATCTGGCTTTAGCTTCTCCTTACTGCCTGGCTACTGCATTGCCACAAGATTTGCACTTCCCATAGAGGTACTTCATTTCTCTGGTCACAAAACCCTTCCACCACTTCAGGAAGTGATATGCATCTTGAGCTCCCTAAACAGGCTGCTGTACAAATGATTAAAGACAAGAAAACATTTCCTGTACTTCTGCTGAGAACCCTCCTCTATTCTTCCAACATCTTTTTGTGGGGCTCATGGTAGACATGGACCTGCCATACCAAGAGTAGGTGCAGCAGGGCTAAACACAGAGGCTGCATCTCCTTTTCAACACCCCACTGATTTCACAGGGGCAGAACTAACCCTCTTTGCAGAAGACCATATGTACCTGACCACCCAACACCAACCCTGATTTACTGCTTCTCATTCCTGGATTCTTACAGGCACGATCACATTTGGCTGAAGTGAAATGCAAAGTTTCTTTTCATGCAGAATATGAAGTGCTCCTAATGAGAGGCCCATCCTGCCCTATTTCATAGTCTAACAATTTTATCACAGTTCAGGAGCAAGAGTCCACGTTTTTTCCAAACCACTAATAACTGGCACAAGAAGCACATACATAACAATGTCCAGTAAAAATTCAAGGCTTGATAATAATTCAATGTTCTCAGTAATATCTTGAGACCTGCAACAACTGGGTGTTTATCAATCAGTAAGTCTCAAGGAGAAGAAGGGTGAGCAGGCAACAACTGAAGGACCTACTAAAGCCAGTGAAATCCTATATTAACAATTTCAGTATTTTGCACGTCCTTAATGTCAGGCTGGTGCTGATTGTTCAGGCCACCTTAGCCACCCCTGTGTGCACTAGCACAGCAATGCCAATCCTCTGTATTTCCCTAAACTTTGACTTCTAACAAACCTTGCAACACACAATGCAGAGAACTTCTCTGTCAGCTCCTTTCATACCTCTCAGTGTCAAATTATTCAGACCAGCTAGAAAAAAGCAGCAACTGCTGATTCTAGGTGTTAACATCCTCCTGCATTGCTGCCCCTGGTGATCAGGGACCAGGATGTTCTGTACAGGGCCATAAGGATATTTCTTGGATATATCAGAGGAAGGTTCATTTCAGTTCAAGTACAGCATCCCAGGAATACAGCTGTACTACTTACACTTCACTAAGTTGATAACCTTCCTCAAAAGAAGAAGTGTATCAGAGCTATTTAAACTACAGCCCTTCCACACCTGGGCACTCGGCACAAGCTGCCTTCAGCAGGAGCCAGACTGCCTCCCAGCAGGGCTTGTTAGCTTAGGCTCTCCAGCAGACAGATTCAACAACTTGAATTCAACAGCTTTTGAACCACATAGCTGACTCTGAAAACACAGCAGTTGTGCTGGAACTAAAACACTGTTAGTCCTGAGCTAGCCTAAGAAGCAGCTGAGATGTGGGCACCAGGCACGACGTAGTCACAAGCCAGAGAACAGGTTAGCCAAAATTGATCTGACTCATACCCTACTTCACATAAGCACTATCAGGAAGGTTCTGTTATACTAACAAACTCTATTCCACATAGCAAACCACCCAGTAATTGTGTCTTGAGAGCTTCACTGTCCTCTTGTTGAAAAATGACTTCTTGTGTCCTATAATTTTTTCATGCTTCCTAGCTTTGCATTTAAAGGGCAGCATGAAAAGCTGTGAACTGATTTGGACTAGGGTTGATAAACTGAACAAAATCTCCTTGTATGGAGGTCTGCATTTCCACTCCAACCCAGATTATTTCTTTTCAAGAATATGACCTTTTTCAGCTGTGGGTTTTAAGTATCAAGCTGCGTGTTCCTAAGCAGTTCAGTTCTCTCCAACTGATTTGCTCAGACATGTTTCCCTCTGTAGAAATCCAGCCATTTGCAACCATATCTAATTTGGACTATATTCCACTTCACATAAATAAATCCATCAGCAAGTCCTTCCTCTGTCAGTTACATTATTATACTGAACAGACAACAAGCTTTCTAAAAACCACAGAAAACAGATTGTCCATTTCAACATGGATTTTCTTTTGCATATGGAAATGAAGAGCATAAACTCAAAACTGAGCGAAAGTGTTTCTCCCAGCCTAGTCATTTTCAAGAAGCCATGATAGGCAGATGGAAAGCTAAATGGTGTAGGCAAAAAGCAAAATATAGGTGGTCCAACAAAAGCTCAAATCATGCATTGGCTTGTACAGCATCTGCCTCAAGTACTTCCCAGGGCAGTTTCCTCAGCAAACAGCTTAACAGTGCCAATCTCAGCCCAGAGAAATGGCAATAGCATCTTCTGCTCTCCAAATTGAGATGAATGCCATTTGTCTTTTCCCTCAAATCTCCAGATTTTGCCTTCCTCACTACACTGACCCCCCAAAACTCTGTTCAATTTCAGGCTTCTTTTCCAGGTCCACATTTATATGGTTTCAAGAAGATATGGGCTTTGTCTTAAAAACATAAAATTTAAAGTCAGCATATGCTCATTTCTAATAAGTTTCCATATATTGTGGTAGGTGAGTTGTATTTCCTGGAGGTGTTTTCTGTGTAAGAATAACACTTGCTAATGAACTCACCAGGGCTAAGTGTTTCCCAAAATATCTGTCTTCATGTAAAGCAGGACCATTACACTGTAGAGGGAAACTAAGGCAAGGAGATGAGGTACTTTGTGCAATTTCGGGTTTGCCAGTCACCACCTCTTTTAAAAAAAAAATTTCCTGAAATCCACTCATGACAATAAAGCACTTTTTTTCCATATCTTGGCATGCACCAGATTGCATTTAAAAATCTTTTAAATACTTTAAACGTTTGTTCTTTTTTTTGCACCATCCATTTCCAAGCTAACAGGACAACCTTTGTCATTTAAAAAAACCCCAAAACAAAACATTCTCCTCCTCCCCTCAGCCCCACCCTATTATTACTCAACCCAGAAGGAAATGAAGTAAAACATCTCCATTTGTGAGAGACCTTACTGCAAGGGAGGGACTGAACCCAAGACCGACTCCATTTGGAACACAACACAAAACCCACCTTTTCGCAAAAGCCTTCCCCCAATGATGAGCCGACATCCTTTCATAGCCAGATAATGATTAGCATGAAGAGAAAGAAAAAAGAAAAGGAAAAAAAGTAAAAAGCAAATGAAGTATGAGGGTGTCAACAACTGAAATCTTTTTGGTAGATGTTAGTTTTATCCAGCATCTGTATGGTTTCAGATATCTTAACATTCAGAGGATTAGAAACACACGGGGCAGGGGATGACTAGTATCAAAGTTCTTGAACTGCTTAAGAAGGTGACAAACGTTGAGGAAAAAACCTGAAAGAAACAGAATCTGATATCCATTCAAAGAGCTGAAAAACAGTAAGAAATCAGAATGTCCAAGACCTGCAAAAATCCATGTTTAATTACAGTAAATAGGAAACTCTGAAATGTAGGGAACAAATGGCATCAACTTTTTTAAAGTATTTATTTAATTAAATAGTGACAACTAGCTTATCATCAGCAAAATTGAACTAATACAATTTAATCTTACTGAAGTTTCCAGGAATATTTATTACCTTAGCTGTTACCTAACCTGTGTATGAAATACTACAAAGTGATATTACAGAATTTCTTGGAAATCTGTCAGACCAGTAACAATCATGACAGCCTCATTTCATTCAGCTTTTTTAATTGTAATAAGAAAAAACCCATACTTAAAGCCTATACCTTATAATGTTAATAATGTAAGGATTCCAGGACATGAATTTTTGAGACACTAAATTGCTTCATTACCTTAACCTGGGTACACAATATATAAATAAATGGTAATTTCTGGCAGTGCACTTGCCACTACCATTCTATTTACAGAAAAACTTAACAGGAAACTCAAAAATATTTTAAATCAAACATGCAAAGACAAAATTTCACTCCAGCCCTTCCCAACAATGTTTTGTATTTTATTTCCCATTCTCATTAACATCTTTAAGAACAGACAGACTGCTGAGTACTGCTCAGTGTAAGAGCAAAAAGGCAGCCCTAAGGATATGCACAGAGGTAGCATCTTACTGAGCAGACATCCCTGAAACAGCACAGCAGGGCATCCTGCAACTGCTGACACAGGAGTTCTACTGGAAAGTCAAAACACAGACTTACGTTTCTGGCAGCCACCAAAGGGTGTCACAGCAAACACTCATCCACAATTGTTTATATACCACTTACTGCTCTGGGATTCCCTAAATCATCATGTATTATAAGATATTATATTATTTTCCTAAATTATAAGCAGGAACACATCAGGTGAAGATGTCCTGTACTTGTCCTGATTTTACTTCCCTCCTACCAGTGACCAAGGCACAAATCAGGATATGGAGTGAGGTGGGTTTTGTCAGACCCAGCATGCATATGTTGATGTTTGCATAACCAATTGTTTGGTTCCAACACATATAATTAAAAGGCAGTTTTTAGACTAGCTTGCTCCATAATCAATCTTAAGGGTAAACAGTCATGGCTTCCATCTCACAAAATTTTAAAGGGTCTCCTAAGAAGAAAAATGCTATCCACCTAAAATGGCACTGAAGTTATCAACCCACGAGGGCAGATTTATTCACTGATGTAGGCTACAGCCCAACCATTATGGATGTTGTGATTGAGAGGAACAACTGAAAGGGTCAGAATTCATCGAGGGAGACAAGCAGACCTTCTAGAAATATAATATAGATGTTAAGGGAGAGAAAACACTAATTGGGATGCTTCCATTGTCAAAAGGGGAAGATTTCACTGTGCAGTTCTCAGCCTGTAACAGTGCTCATTCATGTAATTGGTATGACATTCATGAAAAAGAGTGGCTCTTTTAATTAGGTCAGATCTGTCAAACCACCGGATTAAAGGGGAACCTGGAGAGTAAACAGCCTTTAGCACATGGAAGCTATACCTCTGACACACATTCCTAATTCCTCCACACCTCAGTGGGGAAGGCAAAATAAAAGAAAAAAACCAGGAGTAACACTCAGGATACAGCTCAAAGTGAGCACAGCAATTGAACAGCCTACACTGAGCAGCCTGATGGAGGGGGACAGTAGGGACACAGGATACCTGGCAAAGTGAAACACTGGGAGAAGAGGGAACACTGCTACCCAAAGCAACACTTGCACACCCCTAATTCTGGCTACTGACCAGCAGTGGGAAGTGCTAGTGACAAGTGCAGCAGTGCTCTGAAGACCAGAGTGGGGAAGTGCTGACAGCAAAGCACTAACAGTCCTCAGCAAAGGCAGGATGCTTCACACACAGGGTCTGGCTCAAGAGTCCTCCCATGCAAAACCACTACAGCCTCTGAGATGTGTTTGGCAGTATTTGGTTCATGCTCTATACAGCATATGAAAGAGAGTGAATCTGTAATTCCATGATTAGCACTGAACAACACAACAGTGAAGAAATCCTGCTTATATAATCAAAAAGATAAGTCTGGTGCCGGTTAGAAAAGCTCTTTAAAAGCTCTTTTGTTGCTTCACATTATCAAGATCTGACATTCATCATATCTTTCCAGCCAAAGTTCCTTTACTGCTGATTAAAATGGATATTTATTGACATCAGCCTGGGGAATAATAGCTAAAGAGCCAACCATATTCTATTCTTCATCAACAATACTGCCAACTAAGTTGTTTCCAGAATCATCACTGTCAGTAATTACATGCTAAACAAAAAAGAAAAAACCCAACCACCTCACAGTTGGTTTTCAAAAACCACATTGAGCTTGCAGATAGAAAGCTTTGCTTAGGCTTTAACCCTGCAGGAACAAATTTTATTTGAAAGTCAATTTCTGTTTATATGTATATATACACATATTGAGCTCAGCAACTTGCTGCTTTATGGGGCAAGAATTCCTCCTAACCCAAAGAGGGTTAGGGTTTCTTCCTCATCACAGGTGTACTCAGTATCTTTCAGGTTTATGTTTTAATAGCAGCATGCACCTATTTATCATATGTTCTAAAGAATTTTAGTGGCAGATGATCTCCACGCAAAGCAGAGCCAACCTTGATATGCCATGAGCCTAAAAAAAAAGTGACCTCCATTTTTGATCTGGCTGACACCCATGAGGCAGCATTACTTGACTGAGGAGAAGAGGAAGTTGCAGACACATGCTACTTATATATCATATGAAATGGAGATTGGGAGAGACAAATGCCTCCACTCTTTGAATTCCTTTGACTTGAGTCACCTGAGACATGTTGTCAACAGGAACTGTCCGCTCACATCAACATGAATGTATCTTTTGGCTAGAACTAAAATGGAGAATTGAGCAGGTAAGGATACCAGGTGAGTGGGTAACAAAAGTTAGGAAGAAGACTGTGAAGTTCAGTGTACTAAATACTGTATTTACTCATTTATTTTCTTTCAGCAATTCCTGTAGCTGTGTTGTATTTTTCAGACTGCTACTTCTAAGCCCACAATATAAGCCACATTTGCTGGTGGTAACAAATGAAGTCTAACTATGTAACATTTTCTGGAGTAAGGTCCTGCAACTTAGTTTTTCTGAGGTATTGAAATAATGTAAGAAAGGAAGAAAAAAATATATTATTTCCAGGAATAAAACATCCCAAATTACACTGTTGTAAATATGTATCTGTTTGTACTTGTGGCACAACTCAAGTTACCCTAGCCCTAGGGTGCTGTGCTATGACTGGCTTAATTCAAGCCAAAACAAAACCACTAGGAAGCATTTCTAACCTTCCCCACCTGCACTGGACATTCTGTTTACAGCCACAGAATGGAGATAACTCCACTTTTCTTCGGATCAGAGCTGACCAGACTCATCTCAGAGCCCTGTGATAATCAGTGCTGGCACAAACCGCGGGTGGGAAGGGGCACCCGAGGCTGATGCCCCCAGCAGCCTCCCATCAGTGTGAGCTGACTGAAACCAAGTGATTAAACACCACAGCACAGGCTGCTCAGCACAGCTGAGAAATAAATGTCTCACTGCAAAAATGTGAAAATACTAGCAGTTGATGACTCGCAATGTCATGCAGCTCACCAGGTATTTTCTGAGGACACAGTACCAGGCCTATCGAGCATCAGCATTTTTTTCTGCTCTGGGGAATTTTGGCACTACAAAATACATGCCAGGTGAATTCCTAAAATATTTTTTCTTTCTAGTTATTTTGCCATCTTTGCCCAATTTAATTCAAACCAGAACACTTATTACAACTGGTGAAAAATATGGAATAGTGTAGATGGTCCTGTAGAAGAAAATCTGTCAGAAGTGTTGGCCACAGGAACGCTTCCCTCCTCAGTCCTTTCTTTAAAAAAAACCCACGGGATTTCATGCTGAGGAAGAAAGCATTCAAATTACAGATCTATCTGTAATAGGAGAAGACTAATAAATAATATATAGAACAATGCAAGCTTGCATATTGTCTGCAAATGCTCTAATGCATTTCATAGTTAATTGGTAATAAACCAAGACATACTGCACTAACTTTCCCAGTAGCTCAAAATACATTTTGTACCTAACTCTGCCTTTGCTAAATCTTTTTAAATAAAAGAAAAAAACAAAAACCAAAAAGGGGTGGTACTTCTGCTGCACAGAATCCTTTTGTGCAAGCACAGTTGCCATCATGCTGGCATTTTTCAATAGCAAATTTTTCACATTAGGCACAGTCATGGAGATAAGAGTATATTTTAGTCTTGCTTTTCCTCAAATTATTTAAATTTTTAATTCAGATTGGCCTGCAGAACCAACACATTCAAAAGAGTTACCCTTTCTCCCCCCCAGAAAACACAGCTGTGCAACGAACACAGAGGTTTTAATTAAACTCTTTAATGCAAGATTATTCTTTTCTATTTCATGCTGTTAAAAAAAGTAATCTTCCAACCTCCATACCACCTGTATTTCCTTGTTTCTATCTATAGTTTGCTATCATCTTCCCACTCTTCGAATATTTTTTTTAATGAATAGTTGTCCTACTCCTCACAATCTTGTTTCTTCTGCTCCTATTTCTTTGTCACTGGCTGTCCTCCATCCTGCCATATGCACATTCCTCTGTGACTCCTCTCATCTTTTGTTTTTCACCTTCTATCTTCCTTTTCCACTTTGTTTCCACACTCTATTCTCCTCCATCTTCTCTTCCTTCCTTCTCATCACTAGTAAAACAGGTTTACTCATTCTTCTGTCATCTAAAGTCCTTCTTCTGTGTCTATCCTGTCTCCCAGATCTGCATGAAGGAGGTCTCTGCTGTCTCTGTTGCTTTCTTTCTCACATGCAGGACATATTTTTGAAAAAGATAGAGAAGATCTGATCCTGTCCTGCACTTCTGTCCCCTAAGCAGCCCCTGCTGCACAAGACATGGCCAGAGAGGAGCTGCTGTGTCTCTGCTCATGGCAGGCCAACAGCCAGCTTCCAACTGTCCAAGTGTGAAGTTCCTATGATCACACATCATCTGGGATGCCTTTCCTCTCAAAACCAGGTGACTCGCAGCCAAATTCTTTAATCTCAAAGGCACTAAAGGCTTGGTAGCTCTGAGGAGCTTTTGGGGAAAGTCACTGTGACAGTATTTCCACTTCAGCATGTCTTGATAAGAAGCCTTAGGAAAAAAAAATAAAAATCAAGTACTGGCAATTACACTTTTTTATTCAACAGGACCTGCCAACCACTGAACGTGGTTAAGTGCAAGCACAGACAATGATAATTTACACTCACTGTCATTCTGGAGGCTAACTTCATTTTCAAAACTGCAAGTATAGGCATGGATAAGCTATGATCAGCACACTTCAACCAGATTCAACACCAGCCAAGCCTTTGTCAGCAGTGGTAACCTTCCAAGCAGAGAGGAGGCATTAACAGGGTCCACAACCATGGCCCAAAGGCTAGCTGAATACCTTGGCACCTCCTAAGCCTCTTCAAAGAGCCCTCTGAATATTAACTAATTAGACTTCTCTTATGTGAAAGAGAATGAATCAAGGCTCAATTTACCTGCCAACATAACACACCCAGGTTTGGGGTATAGAACAGTTAGCTGAAGTATCAAAATTATTGCATTTGGTATTAAAAAAGAGACCTGGCGTTCACAGCTCTAGGGGGAATTCAGACAGACTAAATGTCAGATTTAAATTTAGTTTTTAAGCAAGGCATAACAAAATAGTTTGTAAATTTCTAGATAACTGATGGCCAAAACATCAGAGAGCTTCCTGAAGAATATGGTATTGTACTGGGGAGGGCTTGGCTGGCTGGATCTGGTGAGTACTTGGATTAATCACTCCCTGTCAATATCACTACCTACAGGTATTTCTGTGGACACCAGCACAGAATACAGCACTTTAAAAATATGCCTTTTTCTAAACCTAAGGCAATTTATCTGCAAGCAAGACAATCCGTGTATGTCAAATTATGAAGATAACTAAACAGAAGTGTTAGACCAATATTTTGAAGTGAGAATAAGGTGCCTTAAGTGGAAGACATGTAAAAACCTAACTTCAAGTGCTAGAACACACAGCTTGTGAATAATTATGTTTCCTCAAGCACATATTAAGTCTTTCCACTGTTAAGTTATCCACAGTAGAGTTTGAATTAACTGGGGAATCTGATCTGAACACTTTCTGAAATGATTTACTATGTGGCTTCCATACATTCACATGGAGCTTGAAAAGTCCAGTCAGGTTTGATATAGACTAAAATCACCCAAATCAACCATGCACAGTATTTTGTAGAGTGTTTCAACTTCAACTCTCCCCATGGCATAGGAAGGGCTGCATAATATTTTAATTATTTTCTTCCACAAGACAGGAAGCTCATTGAGATTTTACAACCAAATATGCTTAGTTGGCTTTTTGCTCAGTACAGCCCTTAGCCTGCAGGTTGCATGTAGTGCTAAAACAAATAAAGATCACAGAAGTTAGAAATGCCTATTATGTCAATAAAATCTAAATCCCTAGTAATGCAGTAATTGTTCCATGCAGCATGTTTTCTAACGCTTTGTCTGGTCTTGTTTTAAACAATGGGGCTACCATCACTTTTCTCAGACTATTTATGGTCTGGAACAATCCAACAGTTTTTCCTGATCTTTAACCAAAGTTTCCACCTTTTATGCCAGTCCAAAACATAAGAAGCCCTCCCAAAAAAAAAAAAAGAAAAACAAAAACCAAACCCCTCAAAAAAAAGCCTCATCCGTCAAGCTTAGCATCTATCTTGTAAAGAATATCAGATAGCCTTGACAAAAAGCTGAATACAAAGTTCACCTATCAACTCATTTTAGACTACAGTGAGTGACAACTCCCTTCTGTTTATCATTTGGGGACATGTCAGAGCCTCTGCAGAAAAATGGTTAGACAGGATACACCAGGATCAAGTAAGTTTTAACTCAGGAGAAACACAGTTTCTATCTGCAGAAAGGGAGTCTCCTACCGAGCTTCGTTTGTTGCTATATGCTCATGTGGTAGGACTAGCTTATTTTTTTGTTCTTTCTTCCTTTAGCATACGACCTTTGTGACTGACTTAATATTGTAAATAAAGTGTCAATTCCTAAACCTTGGCTTTGTCAAAGTAAAAAAAAAAAAAAAAAAAAAAAAGGAGGGGGTATTCGGTGTGAAGGGAACAAGCTCCCTTGCGCAAAGGGTAATTCCAATAAAGAAACCCTTTTAATGTCATCTGAACAGGTGACTAGCCTAACAGCGTCATTACCATCGAGAACCCTGCAAATTAAGCAGGGAAGAGGCCTATTATCTAGGTCACCTAGCCCACCCCTAGCCAAGCTGAATTATTCCCATCTGTTTACCAGAGGTTTATTCGGGTGCATTGGCAGTAAGTTCGCATATCAGGAGAAGGCAGCAGCCCCCCAGCGCTCCCCTCCCCACCGCGGATCCCCGTTACCGACATAACCAACGCGATCCTCGCCACCCTGCGACACTCAAATAGAACCGGGGGAATTAAAGAGGGGACACCGGCTTTGGGAGGGATGCCCGCAAACGCCACGGTGCCGGCGAACCGTGCTGTGGAGGGGTTAAAAAAATAATCAATTCAGAATAAATCGGCAATTTGGGCAGCGTACGGGCGGAGGGCGGCTGCTGACAGCGCCCCGCGGGGCGATGCCCGCGCGGCGGGGCCGGGCGGCGCGGGCCGGGCGCGGTGCGGTGGCGCGGCGGGTCCCCCGCGGCCGCGGTACTCACGTTCTCGGTGTCGCGCTCGTTCACCGTGGGCAATGGAGTCCGAGTGGACATTTTCCCTCACTCGGGCGGCCGCGGCGGCGGCGCGCACAGACACACACACGGGCCCCGGGCTGCGCGTCTGCTCCGAGATGGTGGTCGCAGGGAGCCACCATGAAGGACGAGGTGCCTGGCGGGGGGCGGCGTCGCGTCGGTGCCCCCCCACTAGATCCTCCTCGGGGAGCGGAGCGGCCTCGCCCCCTCCGAGTCCTTCGGGCTCATCCTACAGCCGGGGTCCGCAGGGGTCAGCAGCGGGCAGGGGGCCGCCTCATCCAGCGGGGAGGGGATGGAGCCGAGGGGAAGGATGGAGCCGGGGAAAGGGAGGCGGCGAGGGAGCGGCTCCGGGGGGGAGGGGGTGAGCGCAGGGCGGGCGGGAGGAGGCGGCGGCAGCAGGACGCCCCGCAGCCCGGCTTCTCTCCGCTGCCGCCGGGGCACGGCTAGCGCAGGCCCGCCGTCCGGGGGGCTGCCCTCTCCTTCCCCCGCCGCGGCCCCGCTTCACCGCGCCGCCGCTCGCATCGCGACCCGCCCCAGGCTCCGAGAAGGCCGGCGCCCCGCGGGCTGCGGACGCTCGGTGGGTGCCCGCCCGCTGCTCCCTCCCTCCCTGCCTGCCCCCCGCCCGCCCCGCCGCCGCTCCCGGACGAGGCAAGATGGCCGCGCTGCTCCTCCGCGCCAGCCCAGCGCCGACATGAACCGGAAGGTCCCGCCCCCCGCCCGGCGTGTGCGGGGGCCTCGGGGCCGGGACCGGCCCTGCCCTCCGTGCGGCCCCGCTGTTCTCCGGGGATCGGCCCCTGCCCTGCCCTCCGTGCCGGCCCCGCTGTCCTCCGGGGATCGGCCCCTGCCCTCCTGGGACCGGCCCTGCCCTCCGTGCCGGCCCCGCTGTCCTCCGGGGATCGGAGCAGCCCCGGCGCGGCACGGCTTGGGGCGGGTTCGCTTTTGTGAGACCCCACCTGGAGCACTGCATGCAGTTCTGGTGTCCCCAATATAAGGAGGACATGGAACTGTTGGGGCGAGTCCAGAGGGGACCTTGAAGATGTTAAGAGGACTGGAACATTCCCCCTACAAAGATGGAGAAAGCTGGGGCTGTTCAGCCTGGAGAAGAGAAGGTGGTGTGGGCACCTCAGCAACCTTCCAGTGTCTGAGAGGGTCTGCAGGGAAGCTAGAGAGGGACACTCCATGAGGAGCTGTAGTGATAGGACAAACAGTAATGGGTACAGATTGAAAGAGGGGAAAATTAGATTAGGTTTTAGCAAGAAATTTTTTACCATGAGGGTGGTGAGGCACCAGAACAGGTGAAACTGTGGATGTCCCACCCCTACAAGTGTTAAAGCCCAGCCTGGATAGGGCTTTGGGGAACCTGCTGGGAGATGTCCCTGCCCATGGCAGGGGGTTGGCACTGGGTTCTTCCAACCCCTTAAAAGCCTCTGATTCTGTAAAGAGGCCCTCAGGGAGATGTGGCCCCCCTGGCGTGGGAGGAGATGTGGGGTGGGGAGCTCAGGTTTTGGGGAGCACCGTGGGGCAGAGGGGAAGGTGCACAGAGTGGCTGGAGAAATGGCAGATCTCCCTACAGAGCCAGCCCTTGGCTGGGGAAGGGGACAGACCCCACTGCCCACTCACAGCCAGGGAAAGGGACACAGGCAGGCATAGTCCAGGAATGGTCATCCATGTTCAGGGTTCTGTCCTTGGGCCATTTGCCAAAGCATGTCCTTCCTTTCCTTGGGCTTTCCCAGCCCAAGGATGGTGTGTGTTACAGAAGGGAGCTCATACCTGGCGGGGGTCTGAGGCTGCTGTTGGCAGATCTCACCTGGTGCCATCAGACACCCATACAGTGTTACAGCACTGTGTTTTCATCCAACTTGATGCTTGGCTCATTTGTTGAAGGAGGGTGGAAGCCTGAGCTATCAAAACATTCTTTGTGTATCCAGTAGTTACTCTGCATAGTCCTTTTTAAGTCTATGAAGAAGATCTTGGTATAGTCATGAGTAGATCTAATTATGAATGAAAAACAAGAAAGAGAAATAACTTTTGTATGTTCAGCATGTAGGTGGTTTAAAACCAAACCTATTTCTGTTTTTTTTTTTTGTTTGTTTGTTTTTTGGTTTTTTGGGTTTTTTTTTTAACAGAAAAAATATGAACCTCTGTAGAAAAAAAATGTTGGGTCTGGTGGGATTTGTAGAGACTTGGCATATCTGTGGATCTGGCAGCCTAGCAGTAACATTTTGTCTTTCTAAAGTGGAAGGACTAAACTAGACTTCTAAACGTTATGGCTCTCATAAATATTTGAAAGCTCAGCCCTGAAATCCATCCTATGATGTAGGTGATATTTCCCTTGCTTTTAGAGACATGAACAAGGAAAGATGGCCTTTGAATGCCACCGAATAATGTATGTCTGTTACTTCATCTTCAGGACTACAAAATGCTCCACAATGTCTGACCTGCAGATTTTCCTTCCAACCTCTCATTAAGCTGATGTCTTGCTCTTTGTCAATGGCAGGAATTTTGGATTTCAGGACTCTCCCCTTATGAAAATGTATTTCTGGGTGTACATGCACGTCCATGTGTGTCTTTGCTCAGACAACACATTCTCATAGCAGAGCCACTGTCCCTGGGAAGCAAGCAGGACCCCTTGCACAGAGCAGGGAGCGGGATTTGTCTATATCTGACTTGCCAAGGTCAGTCACAAATCTAAAGCAAAGCCAGGAAAAGTATCCAGATATCCTGACTCTGCTTTTGCCACAGGGTTGCTGCTTCATCTTTTTCTTTTTGGTTGCCAGTAGAATATGTTCTTTATGATGTGTTTGTAAAAAATTTTAATTGAGTTATGACGGAGTCAGAAAAAGGGCAGCAATTGGGCAGAGGTTTCTTTGGGCTGTCACCCAGCCTGGAGCTCTCAGCCTGCACTCATGGGCACTGCAGCCAGCATGGGAAGGCTGAGCTGCCCACGTTGGAGCTGTTGGCACAGTCTGGGAAGTACAGGTAATGCTGTTTGCACCTAGGAGTGTGCCTGTCCTGATCTGTGCAAGTTCTGTGCACGGGCATGAAGAGGCATTAAAAACAGCATTGTGTTTTACATACTTGCATTTCTGCTCTGTGGAAGCAGTAGTCACTCAGATAAAATCTGAGCTGTACAATGGTGGATAGTCAGATGGAATTCCTGGGCCTGTTGATACAGTAGGAGTTCCACTATTGCCCTTGATAAGGTCTACATTCAATACTTGCAGGCCAAATTTAAAGGGGCTGGGGAAAGGGCACAGGGAGTAGGGGAGCTGTGGGGGATGACTGTATCTTTCAGAGTCATGTTTTTCATTGGCAAAGGGATTTTGAAGTAAGAACTTCTGAAGAAGTGCTTAAGACCACAAAAATAACAGTAGCTGATTTTGCTATTTTATTGCCATTAAATGACAACATTGATTAGAGCTGGTTTTACTGTGTAGCAAAACTTGCACAGGGAATGACAAACTGCATAGCAGGTGCTTTCTTCTGCATTTCATTGTTGCTATATTCTGCTTCTCCCATTTAAACAGATAAGTTAATTTCAAAATGTATTCATGTTCTTCCTAGAAATTGGGCCATAGAAAAAAGCTGATTGTATGGGTTTTGTCTTTGTTTTCCATAAATATTCTGTGTATTATCAGGTACTGCTTAAGCCACATTCACAAATCAGAAGGTGATTTCTTTTCCTATATAAAGGTTTTGAAAACTCAGAAAGCAGTCTGATAATCCTATCGTGCTTTCTGGTTCTTGTGCTATCGCTAGTAATGGTGGCAGTGATTTTGTAAGGGGGTCTTCAATGATAGTGTTTGTATCTTACCAGAATAGGCTGCAATTTGTGTTTTGAGCTGTACTGGCTATAGTGCTAGCAGTTATAAAAACTTTTGGCAGTAGAGCTGGAGAATATGACTCAAAAACATACAGGAAGCAGATGATGCCAGTTAAGGTAACTTTTTTATGTCACTCATTTGGCTGCCACTTCACAGAACAATAAGATACAGAATGACATCACTGTGGTGAATAATTTAGATTTTTTTTCTTCTGGACATTAAAAGCCACACTAAGAACCTTTTAACACTGCACTGCACAGAGTAGACTCCAACAGCGTTTGCAGTCTGAGCAAAAAATGTTGGACTTGATTACAATTGCTGGGCAAAACATAAAGATTAGGTTTAATGTATTCATATGCACAGGTTTTGAGTCTTAATTCTGGAAGAAGGATTACAAATGCAGAACTGACTGAGGAATTTGTATTCCACTCACTGCTCTTTAAAGGCTGGGAACTGAAAGACATCAGTTGGTAGAGACAAGTAGAGAATCAGCTAATGTAATTGTTATAGGTGCTCTGTTGTGTTCTGCAGCTATGACAATGCTTACCAGCTGGAAACCTGCCCAGGTATTAAATCATTTTAGGTTATACAAAATTCCAGTTTAGATTGATAGTTGTTAACCCTGATGAAACTTTTTTGTTTTTTCCTTAAGCCTTTGAAAAACACATTTTAAAATATGCTACATCCACTGAGATATAGATAATATATTCATTCTTATTCCAATGCCTTTTTCCTATTTCTTATAGAAATTCTAAGGTAATGAAGTGAATTCTTTCACATGCAGGACTGTTTTATCATTAGTGCTGTCTTTAGAACCGAAGTCATTCCTTGTGTTTGAAATCAGTATTTGTATTTGGTTTTAAAATCTTAACTTCCAGGCAATACATAATCTTAACAGTGTTTTATGGTAGGAAAAAGCATGTGATTTTAAAAATGTCAATGGCAAAGCTATTGATAGAAAAGGACTGATTACTGTCTGCAACCTGAATCAATAGTCCATGCTCTGTTATAATGAGGCCCAAGTGCAACCTCCTGCAAGGCTGGAGCAAAATGTGGTGTGGACAGCAGGGAATACATTGGAAAGGGAAAAGATCTTCCTTCTCAGCTTCGTGTCAAGCAGAGACTGAGATCTGAGAGGTGGGAGAAGATTTTGTGTGTGTTGACTTCTCCCTTTGGTCCATACAAGTGCCTGGGGACAGCAGAGTGGCCATGGCACTGTGACTGCTCTGCATTGCCCAGGTGAGGAGAGCTCCAGGGGCTGGGCTGCAGCCGTGGGCAAACAGGAGCAAACAGTGCTGGCTCATGAACTGCATGCCTCATTTATTTCCCTTCCTGCAGGGCCAGGCATGCTGTGCTTTGCCTGCAGAGCCATGCAGTGTGGTGCATGGCACATGAACCTTCGTGGTGGGATTGCTACCAAGTGCCTGAACTGCACTGATTCTGGTGCCATTTGATGCAAATGCCTGTATGGATCATGGCTCCAGGACAGAATCACAGTGCTGCAGAGAGCTGGTGAGAGCACTGCTCCCATGGCTTGGCACAAGGTCACTGTGAGAGAAGCAGAGGATTGAAAATACCTCCTTGGCTTTCCATGACCCTGGCACCATGGGGGTTATGAAGGCAACACAAAGGACAAGTAGCCAGTTGGTGGTGATGCTAGCTCTGAATTTGACTCTGTGTGTTTGAAACTAAAATAGATGTTTTATAGCAAGCCTCTTCCATTCTTAGCACATGACCCCACCAAAGCAACATCCTAGATGCTTTGCC